CAAGACGAAAAAAAGAATGTGCATAACTTAGAACTGTGTAAGCCGCTGCAACAATAAAACTCCTATTGTTTCAACTGTGGTGTTAATTACGAGTGATCCAAAAACACGATTTTCCCGCGAAATAAAAAAGGGACTCTATACGGACTCCCTCACATATATAGAAGATAAACACCCAGACGAAGAGCAAACAAACCTGTTCAGCGCACGAATGTTTGCGCGATTTAGGAATCGGACCCACGTCCCACGGTGGAAGAGTCAGCGGCGCAAATTGTTTTGCTTAGATAATTACTGCACAACCGAATCAGTCAGTATTCCTATCGTGCTACAATTAGTCACTCTGTATGATAGATAGGCTGCTACAAATACTGTCATTGTATTTATTTCTCAAAAATTTCCCTGCTACAATCAACAACCAGTGATTACTTGTTCAAAATCAACAACCAATGCTTGGGCCAACGATTGGCGTGTTGGCCGAAGGGCGGTGCGGTGGGCGCGTCGTGACGTCAGCGCCGCGCCGGCGACGACGCTACTTTCCGAGATGAATATACGCTAGGTACTTATATTTATAGACTTGTCTAAACTGCGCGTTACGTAACGCTACAACCAATGTTGTCTTGCGCCATCTGACACGTATTGATACAACAATTTCAGATATGCTGGAGATTGTTTTATCTTTTTTGATTGTTTTATAGTTCTCGTATTACGTGGTCGACTGAAATGTAAGCGGCCACGAAAACTGTATGGTATTTGAAATGTCGGAAATAATATGATGATATTTTAAAAAAAAAACAGAGATTAAGTCGTAAAAATAATTTTAAATAATTCCACAGCACGTGAAAACTGTAGAAATAACCATAATAAAATGCCATAATACCTTAGGCATTAAGTCCACGAATGTAAATAATGTAATATATGAAGTGTATGAAGTAAATAAATAATATAGAAACTGTTTTCAAAGAAACAAGCATCTGTTTAATAATTCAATATAGGCTGGTTAGTTCTTGTCAGCTTTGAATATTTAATATAAATTTATTAGTTTAATGTGCATAAGTAGGTATTTATATATTATAGTATCAATAAGTAAATTGATTAGATTGTACTTTTCTACCCACTTATGTAAAGCTCATCTTCTTTAAGAACGGTTAGCTGGTAGATAACTCAATTGTTGAGTTAAGCTCGCCATTTTTATAACTTTTCGTAATTATTATATTGTTTTAACTGTGTATGTACAATAAAGATATTTTTTTTATTGCCCTTGTAGGCAGACGAGCATACGGCCCACCTGATGGTGAGTGGTTACCGTCGCCCATGGACTTCAGCAATGCCAGGGGCAGAACCAAGCCGCTGCCTACCGCTATAAGAATAAAGAGTTATAAATATATCAGTTTCTGATTCCCAGCAAGTACTTGTTTTTGGGCCATATTATGACCGTCCTATTAATATGATATCGATCCAACGAACGTAGAAGATCGTTCAAACATAGCAATGTAATCAATCTTTTTGATAAAGATAAAACCATTTCTAATGACGAAATCACCAAGAAATGATTATACATACAATTCTCCACAGGGAATGTGTTTTTAACGATGATTGGTAAGTTGCTAAAGAGATTAAGTTGGTTTTAGATAATTTTAAGCCATTCGTTACGTATCAGACGACGTTGAAGATCTCACGACAGCTTGATTTATACTGAGACCTTAGAACTTATATCTCAAGGTGGGTGGCGCATTTACGTTGTAAATGTCTATGGGCTCCAGTAAACACTTCACACCAGGTGGGCTGTGAGCTCGTCCACCCATCTAAGCCATAAATAAAAAAAATAGATCTCAGTATAGTTATAACGGCTGCCCCACCCTTCATGCCGAAACGCATTACTGCTTCACGGCAGAAATAGGCGGGGTGGTGGTACTCACCCGCGCGGACTCACAAGAGGTCCTACCAGCAGTAATTACGTAAATTATAATTTTGCGGGTTTGATTTTTATTACATGATGTTATTCCTTCACCGTGGAAGTCAATCGTAAACATTTGTTTTGTATGTATTTCATTAGAAATTCATTAGATATTCTAGTGACCTCCAGAAGTTCATTGAGCGAGTAAGCGAGCTCACAGGGCTCTTGCCTTTTTGTGTCAGGAGGAAATCGCCGGATTTCCGCCCTACACACGGTTTGGAGGGTGATGAGGGCTCTGCCTACCGAATTTGTTAACATCAGCCCTAGCAAGAGCGGTACTTCGCAGAATCTACCACTAGATCAGGAATGCGACCCACTGAGAAGAACCGGCGAGAAACTCAGTGGGTTGTGTCTGAGGAGACTAAATTGATTCAATATTGTGCTTATAAATCAGCATAAAAGAAGCGAGATCAAACCGTACAAGTAGTTTTAATTGGTATGTGTGTGTGTGTGTAACATAATTTTTGAATGCCATTTTCATCGATACCAGACGTTTAGAATTTTGACGATTATTTGAAAATTTGCACACGCATCAAGGATCGATGACAGTACAATAATTTCATAACTTCCCTCTGATATCCTGACTAGTATTGACAGGATTAAAAAAATAGTTGAAATTAATTGTAAATTCGGTCACTATTGAAGCGTGTTTTTTAGTTTTTACATCACATACATTTTTATCGATTACCTTCAGTGGGTTTTTCAGAACTGAGATTGGCGGTTTCTTGAATTTCTATTTCGTAAGACTCTGCTTTCAGTTGAATATGTATTCCATATTTATTTTCAACAATATATTTGTTAATCAGTGAGATATCTAGAGTTGGTATGATCGAATAAAATTCCCTTACATAAATTTGTTGTACGTACGTATGAAGTATTTAAGATAACTTTAATAAATATATTTACGGGTAGTTTTGATTTCAAAAAAATTCCTTTTTCGTTATTTATTTTCGTATGGAACCCGCAATGGACGAATGAGGTAGGGGATTTTTATTATTTATATGTCTATCTTTGTTGGGAATCACTGACTTTGGATTTGAATAAAAGCGCGCAGTTTAGTACGCACAAGAGAAGTCAGCTTAAATTGGTCGATACATTTGTTTTTGGTTAAAATATTTTCATAATCTGAATCTCAGAAACGGCTGCAACGATTTTCATAAAATTTTGTATACAGTGGAATTTCGGGGGCGATAAATCGATCTAGCTACGATTTATTTTCAGAAAATGTCATCATCTAGTAATCATCTAGTAATACTTGCAACTGAGAAACTTGTTGTTCACGGTAGGGTCAATGGTAAGAGATCTCGTGGACGAATCCTCATGCGCTGGACTGATCTGGCGAAAGACCTTACTGAAACTCCACTTAACGAGTGCGTGCGCCAAGCCTCAGTTCGCAAACTATGGAAAACATCTGTCAAGGCTTTAATAAACAAGAATCCCACATGACCACGACCGCTCTGCCAAGAGTAGCCGACTATGATGATGAAATATAATACCTTTATTTTTAATTAATTTTTCCGGGCGAATATTCGGAGAAAAGTGTGTGTGTGTTTTTTTAATTATTTAACGGAAATTATTATTATTAGGAAGATGATTAGTGTTTTCTATGGCTTGTTTATTGTACACGGCGCGCATTTATGGCATCGTATAATTCAAATTCGATACAATAAAACGAAGCTGGTAGTCACTTACTTCGGATTACGGTATCATATTATATTATCGTATGATAGCAGACGCGACTAGATTACACCCCGGCTAGATGATAAACAAACTATTTCAAGATTAAAATCACTCTCTTCGGGCCGCTCGTGAGCAACCGCTTTTGAGAATATAATTGGAAATTATATACAGAAGTAAAATTACTTGTCCTCAAGCGAAGATTGAGATTCTTGTTCTTTAAGATGTTTTTCTCTTTTTTGGGAAACAGTTCCTTTTTTTATTTGCGGCAACATTTAAATTTCACTATTAAAGAACAGCTATAACGGCGGGGAAAATGACTCTTAATTATTTAAGTTTGTCCATTTTTGTATTAGACGGGCGATTCGCTCCGACTTTGCACGATGAGTTGGTTATCATATGCCGTCATTCAAGCGAGAATGCGTGACTGCTTTGGGGCAGCTTTTTTTTCTTACCTAAGCTGATATCCTTGAGAGGCTATTTCAGCGTAACCTTAACTAGTAGATGAGCTCACGGGGCTCAAACCGGAGTGATGCTAACACTGACCCTAGCAAGAGCAGTGCTTTGCAGAATCTATCACCGGATCGGAAACGCGACCCACTGAGAAGATCCGGCGAGAAACTCAGTGGGCTGTGTTAAGGCTATGGGTTAATTCGCTCGTCGAGCCCTTCGTCGCAAGCGACGGGTTCGACGAGGACGGTGACCGGTGCTTGTGGTACCTAAAAACACTGTTAATGGATTGGGAGGATCCGTAATGACGTGTTTTGGGCGACGTCGACTGTTTACCATTCGGTCTACAGGATCGGGTATGTAGTTTCCAGCGGGCACGACAAGAGGGTTCTCATGTCGTGCCGCCTTTTCACAGTACCTACTCGGGCGGGATTAAATTATTATAGCTCGTTTTCGGAATCCTACGTTGATGTGTGAAGAACTGAAATATCATCATTATCCTGCCCTTCTCCCAGTCACCTGGGGTCGGCGCAACATGTTTGCTCCTTCCATACTCTTCTATCATATACCATTTCTTCGCTCACTCCCCTCCTACCCATATCGTCTTTCACACAATCCATCCATTTCTTCTTAGGTCTCCCTCTTCCTCTAAATCCTTCCACATTCATGGTTAACACTCTCTTAACAACCTCATTTTCATTTCGTCTCATCACATGTCCATACCATCCCAAACGCGCACTCCTCAGCTTCTCTGTCACAGGTGCCACTTTCAAACTTCCTCTAACATACTCATTCCGTATTCTATCCATTCTCGTTACTCCACACATCCATCGCAACATTCGCATCTCTGCTGCATGCAATCGCCTTTCATCCGCCACTTTTGTTGAAGAACTGAAATATGCAAATGAAAATTTTATTACAGTCAAGGACATGTCTGCTGCAGTAGAAAATCAGCGTACCGTCGAAATTGAGCTGGTGAATGGTCATGGCGGTGTGGACCCGCGAAAATGGGAGGACCTGTTTTTGCCCACCCCGCTCAAGCTGGAGAACAGGCTCAGAGCCCAGAAGGTCAGTACAGCTTCTTAGCCTCTGATCGACACACAAATATAACAATTAATTTAATAAAATACTTTTACGGTTTATTTTCTTGAATTCTTCGTGGTCACGGAAAATTTATCTTAGTTATTCGTGTCGACATTTGATTTTTTTTTTATCCCTGATATTTAGATCTGTATTGAAATTAGGGTTTTTTTAATTTACTTCTATGGCTTCATATACCACGTATCCATTACAGACGAAATACTAAAATTTGTCTTCTTTGGTGATGAATATGTATTTAAATTTTATCAAAGTCATTAATGGAAAGTTAAAAACAATAAACCAGCGTAGACTTTATGGCGCGTTCTGCCGCAAATTGAATTTAAGTTTTGGTTTGAAGGGTGGCATAGCTATTATAAAATCGAACTGGCAATTTGATCTAATGTCTTCTTCATGTGTAACGAGTATGGTAACCACTGGATATCGGACCAGTCGCGACTCTTCTGGTGAAATATACAAAAAGTTGAGCCCTGATTTTGTTTGTTAAGGTAACCTTATACCATATCATGTCATTGCGGATCCTCCCGATCCATTAAGGGTGTTTTTAGGTACCTCAAGCACCGGTCACCGTCCTCGCCGAACCGGTCGCTTGCGACGAAGGACTTGACGAGTAAATTAAGCCATAGACACAGCCCACTGAGTTTCTCGCCGGATCTTCTCAGTGGGTCGCGTTTCCGATCCGGTAGTAGATTCTGCGAAGCACTGATCTTGCCAGGGTCAGTGTTAGCAATACCTCCGATTTGAGCCACGTGAGCTCACCTACTCTCCCGGTTACGCTGACATAGCCTCTAAAGGCTATCAGCTTAGGTAGGCAAAAAAAACATAACCAAGTAAACGTTGACTTTGGGTATATATTTCCACGAATTTATCTAAATTGTTAATAGCGCTTTAATATTAAATGAGCCTTTAAGTATGACTCTGTCAAATAAAAAGTTTACTGTTCGTGATAAGAGTTAATACTTTTTATGTTGAAACTAAAGTAAAGAGTTGTAATTGCATTTGTCTTATTTTTCTCTCAACCGAGCTCTTACGCCATTTAATAAATATTTTTGTTGTAGTTAAGATATTTCTCTACTCTCTCTATTCTTTTTTTTTTAGGCTTAGCTTATTGGACGAACTCACAGCCCATCTGGTTTTAAGTGGTTACTGGAGCCCATAGACGTCTACAACGTAAATGCCGCCACACACCTTGAGATATGGGTTCTAAAGTCTCGGTACAGTTACGACGGCTGCCCCACCCTTCAAACCGAAACGCATTACTGCTTCACGGCAGAAGTAGGCAGGGTGGTGGTACCTACCCGTGCGGACTCACAATAGGTCCTACCCCCAGTAAATGATTCTCAGAATTTTTTTGTCATTACGGACTAGAAAACTTATTATGAAAATACAGAAAATCGAAAACAATATGATATTTTTATGTTTCGTTATTGGAAAATCTAAATTTTAGTGTAAATATTTGTAATAATAAAATGAAAAACATAAAACCAAAAACGGATGAACTCAACAAAACAAAATATCAATAGAAGGAAAAGAGAAATTCCTCCTTATAGAACGTCCGAACGTCCGCTGGTTGTAAAACACAAAATGTTTTATATCCTCATGCTAAATCTCTATGTAGCATGATAACACCTAGATAAATAAATAATAAATTAATATTAATATAAATAAATGATCAAGGCAAGAAGAGGAAAAAGTTGTGCTCAAGAAAATTGATAATTGGCTTTTTAACTATTACGCACTATTATTTTGTGACAGAATGGCTATACCAAGCCAAATGAGGGTACACAGCCGACCATAGAACCATCGCTAGCCGGAAGATCACTATCATAAATAAATAAATAAACTAATCGGGAACAAGCCACGCCAAGTCCCTGAGTTATGGGAACGAGAGACTGACATACATACTTACTTATATACGTTTTAAATATATACGTATATAGATAATAAATACCCAGACAAAAAGAATTTCTTCTTCTTCTTGCTTCGGTTTCCTCAATACTGACCACCTCCTCGCAACAGGAGTTTATTACGGACCATTCCACGCCATTTGCCTCTATCTGCCGCCGAGTGTAGAGCATCCGGAACTGTGGTGTCGAGGATAGTGCGGATCTGGTCAGTCCAACGTGTCGGGCCTCTACCTCGTGGTCTTCTTCCGTTCACCTTGCCAGTCAAAAAGCATACAAACCTGTTAATGACGGGAATATTTGCCCGATGCGGGAATCAATCCCACGACCCTTGGCGCAACTGTCAGGGGCGCTAACTGCTCCACCCAGTCAGTCTACTATTAAACACAGGCCTACTAAGTTCGTTAAAGTTAGTAATCTATTTTAATTACTAACTAATCGATTGGTTATTAACAGCCAACCGTATCTTGATTACTAACTAATCGCTTGATTATTTACCAAGTAATGACAATTCGAGGGGTGAAAGGCTATTTAAAGGCTAACACGCGACATGATGTGTCTTTGTAATTAAAGGTCCGTTTTATTTGGTATCAGCATCAACAGTTCGATGTTTTCAATTGAACTTCAATTAAGTTTACTCTATTCAAATGGCTGAAGAAGTTTTTCTTAATGATATATTTTACAAATTTTTAAACTTGAAATGGCTCACCTGTGAAGTTGCTAAGATGTCGCTTAAACCAAATTGCCTTTCACTCCTTGATATCTTGATGTATCAATGGCTTCGCCACTTGCCTTTGAGGCCCTCTCTATCACTGGTTGAAATAAGTTTTACACACATTCATCAGATTATCTGACAGTTGAAAATTGCATCATATGATATCCAAGGTGAGATTATTGTATAAAATAATATTAATAAAAACAATAAGTAAAAATATCAATTTAGTAATTAAATTCGAAAAAAATGTATTATAGCAATTATCCTAAGTATAAACATAAATGATTGATTTTTATTTGTTATTCCAACTATTATAACTTTATTTATGTAATTTTATTACATAAACGTATTATATATTACAATATGTAGCGTCTCAAAACGTTTATTCGAATTACCGCGTGCACCAACCAAAAGGAAAGAAAAATAATATGAAACCCGTTCCTATTATGGTTTCCTAAATTCCAAATTTAATTCAAGCCAAACCAATACAATTTTACGAAGATTGATTAAGATAATCAAATTTAAAATCCGTTATTTGTAAACTCAACTCTCTCCCGTCGACAGACCGCTCATAATTGAGTTCGGTTTTGATTGATGATCTGTCAAAATTTATTCGGCTGTGTACAAGGTCTTCCCAGGTCTTCCATCATTATATTTTATTGTTTATTTATTAAGTTCTGATAGACAAGCAAAGGAATATCACGTGTATCAATTTATTGTTCGGTGATCTATCTGTAAAATATTTTCAGATACAAAACAATCCAACGTCCTATCTGCTTCGCCTTTTATTTCTCTTTTTGGGGTTTGCGAGATATTTAATTTTACTAGAGGTCCCGCAGTAGTCGAAATTCGACTATAATTAATTGGAATTGTATGTTTGTACACTATTATGATTGTATTTTATACTTCTATAATCACAAATTTCGCCAAGGCTACACTATAAAAAATATTAATAAAGACAAACAATATTTAATCTATTCTCAATTTGACAACAGACGTCAAGAACAAAAGTTTGACAATAAATAGTATGCATGCGTGTGTGCGTCAAATACATGGTATGTAGTGTGTGTAATGTTTTCTTTATTGATTTAATGTATCTTTTATGCATTATTTAAAAAAAAATTAGCATTGTGCACTTCTTCTCTATATTCTCTATAAGTGTGGAAAATTTCATACTCCNTAATCTATTCTCAATTTGACAACAGACGTCAAGAACAAAAGTTTGACAATAAATAGTATGCATGCGTGTGTGCGTCAAATACATGGTATGTAGTGTGTGTAATGTTTTCTTTATTGATTTAATGTATCTTTTATGCATTATTTAAAAAAAAATTAGCATTGTGCACTTCTTCTCTATATTCTCTATAAGTGTGGAAAATTTCATACTCTTCCGTCCGCGCAATTTTCGTAAAAAGGGATACAAAGTTTTTGCTTCACGTATTAATATATAGATAACGTGAACATAACATCGATTCCGTTTAGCAAAGAGTGATAATATTTTGACATTTCAGCAGTATATGCATACATGTAGTGATTAAAATCTCTTGTAAATACATTTTATTACGTTGACTCGTATCTATTTATGTTACGGAATTTTTTTGCGTAATTTTCACCAATTTCTAGACGTCCGATTTACTTAAATATTTGTAGACCTTTATGATAATGTGATAATTGAATTACTGCGATCTAATATCCGGATCAGGACGATTAAAATTAAAGTGATTTTAATTTTAATGAAGCTTGATTTTTTTTCTGTTTAAATATATTTATTATTGCTCAAATGCAGTCAAGAAATATAAAATGTCAAATAGTATTTTTTTTAAATCTATAACCAAAGATTTTTTATTTATTTTATTGCTTATGTGGACGAGCTCACAGCCCACCTGGTTTTAAGTAGTTACTGGAGCCCATAGACATCTATAACTTAAATGCCGCTACTTACCTTGAGATATGAGTTCTAAAGTCTCAGTATAGTTACAACGGCTGACCCGCCGTTTAAACCGAAAAGCATTATAAATATAATTAAATAATTAACAGATTGAAGCCCGTCTCAGCAAGTTAATGCTATGCGGCTCGACACTACGTAGAGTTGGAGAGGTGTTCGAGAAAGAAATCGAGGCGGGACTCCGACAACAGCCTTCGAGTTTGCAAATGGAAAATACTTATGTCCCAGAATTGCCTGACGGAACAGGTTTGTGTTATATGGATTTAGAGAATATTCATTTTTTTTTTGCTTAGATGGGTGGACGAGCTGACAATCCACCTGGTGTTAAGTGGTTACTGGAGCCCATAGACATCTACAACGTAAATGCGCCACCCACCTTGAGTTATAATAACGTCTCAGTATAGTTACAGCGGCTACTTCAAGCCGAATTACTGCTTTACGGCAGATATAGGCGGGGTGGTGGTGATGAGAGGTAAAAAGTAAAAGTAAATAATAAAAGTAGGTACCATTAAAAGTCAAGGGTACCTTGAGTGATGCAACTATGCCGGTGCTCAAATCTTTTAGGAAAATGACAAATTTTCAAAGGAAATACGTACGTAAGACCTATTTCCGAACGATTCCACACACGAATAGAGAATAATAAAAACGCGTTGTCACTGTACATAGCGCGTCCTTCTAGCAGTATACTTCTTCTTCTTCTTCCAGTGCCTCTTCAATCCTGAAGGTTGGCCGTTAGCTTTCTGTATTCATTTTTATCAGCAGCCAACCGGAACAGCTGTTCGACGGAGGCAATACCGGTCCACTCCCGGATATTCCGGAGCCATGACTTCTTTCTTCGCCCAGCACGTCTCTTTCCGTCCGCTTTGCCCATAATTATTAACTGCAGCAGCATGTATCTATCGTTCCTGAGCACGTGGCCGAGACATTCAATCTTGCGCTTTTTGATAGAAGGCAACATTTTCCGGGACATATGAACGCGCTGAAGCACGGTTTCATTCCTGACCTATGTTATACCTAGCAGTATACATAAATATTAAATAAACATCTTTAAATACCAGTCGCCCATTTCATCCCAATAGAGAAATACAAATAACACATAACCAGTAAAAAGGTTTAAAAATCAGCCCCAAAATAACTCTTTAGGTATAATAATTTGTTAAAATACGCTAATAATTTCAGAGGAAGGCTCGTTCTTAGCGTTGGATTTGGGTGGTACAAATTTTCGGGTCCTGTTTTTGGAGTTGAAAGCCGGACAATTGCTCCGTGAGAAAGTGAAACACTATCACATAAAGTAAGTTATACATATAAATAGTTATATATGAGGCCGTCAGCGCAAAAGTGACCTAACCTACAATTTTTCATATTCGTGCTTATTATATATTGCAATTTATTTAAAACGTAGGTATTAAATGTTGAAGCAAAAGCGGCCTGTCCCTACATTATTTTTACGCGTATTATTCTTGCCTACGAAGCAGTGTAAAAGTAAATTCAGACCTCATTATCATGGTAGGCTTAGGCCAGCGCTGATAGTCTCATATAGTAAATGCGGCTTGTGTTATTATTTAGTTTTTATTTGTAATAGGTAGTAGTAGTGTAATAATATTCTATTTATAGTATTCTATTTGTTATAAAGTTACTAAGCGATGATTTACGTAGGTTGGTCGGTAGGTAATCGTTTATCCTCATCTAGAGAGAGTCGAAGACAGGCCTATGTTGCGCAAAAGTCCAGCAACGGGAAACTTTCCATCCAACTGATCCATTTATTATATTATTACGATTTTAAAATTTATTCCTTAATTCTTTCGGAACTTGAATAATTGCAAGCTTATCTTGAAATTGTCGTTATTCAGGCATCTGTCAAATATATTATTTTCTATGATGGTTACTCACCACACATAATACACATATGTCTATGAATGCTGTATTTTCCTATAATTGAGGGAGTACATAAAATACGAACGTTTTATTATTCTTTTTTAAATAATTGTATAGTGCATAGTCCTTTGTTGGAAGATCTAAATCGATTAATATATTATTTTATTGTGTTTCGTATTAAAACAATAAATGCTATTTAATAAACATTTTGATTGCGATTATTTTAATACGATACGAATATGTAACACGTTATACATTATTGTAATTTTTTTAGTGATGCCTTACGACTGGGTCCCGGTGAAGACCTGTTTAACTTCTTAGCAGATTGCGTGCAGGATTTTTTGGTTTCACAATCTATGGAAAAAGAAACCTTCTCTTTGGGTAAGCTCGTGTTTGTACTTAAGAGAGGCTTGTGGAGAGTGCTTAACGGAAGATAGCAGCTTGGCTTTGTGCCTGACTTTGCTGATTTCGATGAGCGACGGGAACCGCTCACCATTAGATGGGCCGTATGCTCATCTGCTTACAAGAGCGATAAATAAAAATTAATTTCCAAAATTATTTAAATGCTTCAAAGGTTTTTTTTATTGCGTTAAGCGGTTACTTGAGCCCATAGACATCTACAACGTAAATGTGCCACACACCTTGAGATATAAGTTCTAAGGTCTCAGTATAGTTACAACGGCTGCCCCGCCCTTCAAACCGAAACGCATTACTGCTTCACGGCAGAAATAGGCGGGGCGGTGGTACCTACCCGTGCGGACTCACGAGAGGTCCTACTAGTAAAAACTACTAGTAAAAAATTAATATTTTTGAAATAAATATACGATGCTATTGATAATTTCAGGTTTCACATTCTCGTTTCCTATGAGGCAGCACTCGATATCCTCTGGAGAACTAATCACTTGGACGAAGAGCTTCAACTGCGGCGGAATGGACGGGGTTGATGTGGCTGCCCTGCTGCAGAGGTGCCTTAGCGCCAGGAGTCTGGATGTGACCGTGCGAGTGCTCCTCAATGATACAACTGGCACTCTGGTCGCTGGAGCTCATATCGATCGTAACGTTGGAGTAAGAGCTTCTTCAGTTCAATCGTTGCTTTGAATGAATACCGACCGATCATTTTTAACTCGAGATATAACGCTTTTTAAGGTTTTGTTTATTAAGGTATTTAGACTCTTTAGTAGATACACATTAAATCAATCGATACTTCGATTTCATATGATAACAATTTGAAAATATCTGTCTATGTTATAGGCAGTACAATGACTCATTAATGTTGTAAGGATATACACATAACAATAAACTTTTTTTTTTTATTGTAGTTACATATATTTTTTAATACGCTTTTATTAGCTTCAGACGTGTGTATGTTTGTAACGGAATCTTTGAACTCGATTTTGACCCCCTTCAAAACGTCTGATTAATTCGAAATTTGGTGTAGTTATTAAGGATCGATGACAATTCAATATTAAAAAAATTTAAATTGAACTAAAAAATGAAAAATAAATAATAGTTTAAAAAAACTAACAAAATATGCTTTTATAGAATGCATGATATCAGTAGTTATAAATATTTTATGGACAGATATGAGTATAAGGGTTATATTGATAATATCCTGAAATCTTTACGCTTTTTTTACAATAAAATCATTTTTTCCTACACTATTTTTAATTCAAATTTATTAAAATTTATTTTCTATTTTTTAGTGTTGGATTTTCTATAAAAGCGTATTTTGTTAGTTTTTTTTAAACTATTTTTTTTTTGATACAGATCGGCGTGATTCTGGGTACCGGCTCAAACGGGTGTTATATGGAGCGCGCGTCACGGGTCCTCCATTGGGAGCGTCCTCACTCCGCAGTGCACGATGTGTGCATCGACATCGAGTGGGGTGCCTTCGGCGACAATGGCTGCCTCGACTTCCTTCGCACAGAGTTCGACGACGAAGTGGACGCTAAGAGCCTGCTGGTCGCTTCTTTTACGTGAGAGTGTTTTATTGATTAGTGAAACGACGCTGTGAAAGTCATCTGTGAGTGGTCACTGTTGTTCAAGCCCACTGAGTTTCTCGCCGGATATTCTCAGTGGGTCGCATTTCCGATCCGGTGGTAGATTCTGCGAAGCACTGCTCTTGCCAGGGCTGGCTCTAGCAAGAGCTACACTGGGTGTTAGCAACGTCAGATTTGAGCCCCGTGAGCTCACCTACACGTCAAGGAGAAGCTGATATAGCCTCTCAAGGCTATCTTTTTTTTTACTACCTAAGCTGATAGCCTTGAAAGGCTATTTCAGCGTAACCTTAATTAGTAGGTGAGCTCACGGGGCTCAAACCTGACGACGTTGCTAACACGAAACCTAGCAAGAGCCGTGCTTCGCAGAATCTACCACCGCATCGGAAACGCGACCCACCCACGTGTTTGGGGCGACGTCGACTGCTTTCCATTCTGTCCGCAGGATCGGGAATGTAGTTACCGGCCACGATGAGAGGGTTCTCGTGTCGTGCCGCTTTATCGAAGTGAAGGCATAGCATAGGTAGGAAACAAAAAAGTTGTTCATGGACGTCAGCAATATCAGGAGCACAACCGAGCCGCTACCTACCTGTGTAATAAATAACTTCACTTAAATATGATTTCCTTTTTAAAAATCTGTGTTTTTGTTTGCAGTTTCGAAAAGTACATAGGAGGCAAATATCTCGGGGACCTATTGACTTTTACTTTGAGTGCGTTGGCGCGAGATGGTCTGTTTCCAGCTGATCCTAATTTCCGTAAACTGCAGACATCGCATGTCAGTTTGTTCGAAGAGTAAGTCCAATATTATTTTCAAACTGGCATTAATAATGGCAAGACTGCTGGTATAATTGGCAAGTCAGTTTTATAACATTATAAATAAATAAATAAATATTTACTAACAATCACGCCACGTTAACTGGTCCCGTGCTAAGTTCGTAAAGAACTTGTGTTACAGGTACCAGATAACGGAAATAAATGTAAGATTTTTATTATACACATACATATATATAATATACATCCATAACCCTGGAAAAAAACATTTAATGTTTATCATACAAATATCTTCCCTTGGCGGGATTCGAACCCGCGACCCCCTTGTGTAGTGACCATGTCATTTACCACTACAACAGACGGCCGTTTAATTGTGTTAAAGTTCGATTTCTTTTAGTAACCAATCGCTTTCATACTTTTTCAAAGAGTATATTTATCAATGCTTCCTCAGATTCCACGACAAAAATAAAAACCGGAGAAAATGCTATCCTAGGTCCTTTTGAAAGACGGACTTTACAGGAAATTATTGTTTGTTCTGATGGGAAGAGAATTAGGAATTACAAAAGGGTATCATCTACTTCAATTATAATTTGGACATCAGCCATGCACAAATGTTGAATAAATAACTATAGTAGAATTATTTTGTCCGTGCAGTTTGGGTTATAAAAAATCGGAGCGGTGAAGCGAGTATTTCGCTCTCTCTTCCACTCACGAGCCTTATGGACGGGCATAGTGATGCGCATTATTGTTGTCGATAAGCGTTATCGATAGTGTATTTAGTTTTGTCATTTTGTGGGTTAGTGATAAAAATGAAAGAAAAAATCACCAATTGAAAACTTGCACCACATATCGCCGCAGCAAGTTAACGAGAACGGCAGAAATTAACACTTTGTAACTTTTCGGGATCTATTCTTATTTCAGTGAAAAATTTTAACACATTGTTGATAACAATACGTGCAAATATTATTTTGAATAAATTCTGCTGTTTTGATACAAAAACAAGGAGTAGCCATTGCGTCACTAAAGAAATTCAGAGAAGGAATGCATAAAAACACATTTCTCTTCGACATATTGTACTATAATTTGCAGGTAATTACAAATGACTCGTAACATAACAATGTCTCACCACCCTTCGTATAGCACCCCGCCGCCGTGTACCTGCCTTCGATGACTCATTTGTATTTATCGATAATGGCGTTGCGCTCGCGCAACATGCTCACCGCCCTAGCCGGGCTATGTTTTAAACCCAAACTGCACGGACAAAATAATTTTACTATAGCATCTAATCCATAAATTCCGAACGATTTCTTCGATAGAATCGCTTGTACCGGCAGCACGTTGTCCGCCAAGTACGCCTTTACCAGTTTTATCATTTTTACAGAGAGAGCTGCGCCGGCGAAGTGTCTCGCACATTGTCAGCGCTCCGCGAAGCCTGCAATTCAGATTTGTTGAGCACAGCAGACGCCCTTGTAGCGCAGTATGTGGCGCACGTTATATCTAACAGAGCTGCCCAACTTGTGTCCGTTTGTAAGTGTACACTTTAGTTTTTAACCAGGTCCAGAAAAGGAGATATTATGTTCGATTGCATGTTTTTTTTTCTTGTGTGTTCTTCAACGATTTCTCTATCTTGTCACAAAATCAAAGGTATTTTATTATTGTTTATCGTTTACAAGACAAGATAAGTGCAATGGACACGTCCTTACGGATCCATCAGATCCAATAACACTTGCATTAGACACCTTTAGCTCTAATTCATACTAGGAATTGGGACCCCGGTAACCGTACACGTCGAACTCGGCAAAGAGTTCGACGTGCAACCTAACCCATGCATCAGCCCGCTGAGTTTCGCCGGATCTTCTCAGCGGGTCGCGATTCTGATCCGATAGTATGTTTCACTCGCGAAGCAGCTACTCTTGAGTTATTAGGTCTCTATCGGAGGCGTTCGGATAGCTGTTAGCAAATCTCTCCACTCCTGACTGAGCCCTTGCTCGTCCACCTGCCCTGTTAAAACTGGAAAGGCCTCCGGGCCAATCTTTCAAACATAAAAAAAGAAGTGCAATGGGCAGTCTCATTTATACATAAACAAACAGGGCAAAAAAACAATAGAATAATAATGGAGTTTAGAGAAAGAGATATAGAAAAAGTCGCCCGACTATTGCGCTACTTGTGTGACAATTCTTCGTTTTATTTCATCCAGGTATCTCGACATTACTCAAACGTATGGACAGGCCGTACGTGGCGGTGGCAGTTGACGGGTCCGTGTTCAAACATCACCCTCGTATCGCAAAGCTCATGAATAAATATATAGCATTGCTAGCCCCAGCTCATCAAGTGAGTATATATACACGTAATGTTTCCTTAAAATATGGACTATTTTTGCATAAACTTTTTGATTACATACGCCTATATGGCTACCGGAGCTCATAGATAAGACAATCATTTTTTCCTCTTCTTATAGGGCTATTCTACCTACTAGAGAACTTGGTAATACTAGCTCTAACAAGAGCAATAAAATAGAAATAAAATAAAGTACTTCGCTGAATCTACTACCGGATCGAATTGTGACCCACTGAGAAGATCCGGCGAGAAATTCGGTGGGTCGTGTGTTAAGTTGGGGTGGGTTAGGCCGTATATCGAATTATTCGTCGCATCCGACGAATTCGACGAGAACGGTGATCGGTGCTTGGAGTGCCTAGAAACACCGATATTAGATTTGGAAGGATTCGACTGGACGTCTTTAGGGTGACGGTGGCTTTGCGGTCATGATAAAAGGGTTATTGCGTTGCGCCGTATTTCCAAGAAGCTATCTGACGCTCTATTTAGGTACTTAGTTAATGGCTAAATGTCGCGATTGACGTGAAGATCTGCAATCGTCATATACCAAAGTGTTTCAACAGCTCTCCTGCAAAAACGGAATTGAATAATTTCTAGGGCGTTTATGCGACCCGCGTTGCCCACTGAGTTTCTCGCCGGATCTTCTCAATGGGTCGCATTTCCGATCCGGTGGTAGATTCTGCGAAGCACTGCTCTTGCTAGAGTCACTGTTAGCATCACTTCGGTATGAGCCCCGTGAGCTCACCTACTAGTTAAGGTTACGCTGAAATAGCCTCTCAAGGCTATCAGGCTAGGGAAAAAAAGACCCGCGTTACCGCGTTACCGAACACTAAACTTGCATAAATCATGGCTGAGTATTACGTTAATACTGCCACTTGTACAATGCTTGGTGAAGACTTACTGCCTACTGTCCGGCGAATACTTTAGTCGCCTATTACAATACTTACGCAAAGATATGACGGGTCCTATTCTAGGCACCACATAATTAGCATACATTTTTTTGTTTTCAGTTTTCACTGATGATTGCTGAGGACGGTAGCGGCAAGGGCTCGGCCTTGACAGCGGCTATCGCAGCTCGTATGGCTACAAGAGGCGTGGCGAGGTTATAATCGACGAATTTTAATTCATTTACGTTATATTTCGTTCATGATCTTCTCAAGCCGGACGTCGCTTTCTCTTGATTTAGTTTTACGGTTATAATTATTGCTTAGAGCGCCTAAAGCCGCGTCCAGACTACGCTATAATATAATAGCATATAGTATATAGCTCATAGCACAACAATATCCCACACCATACATTGTTATGGACACGTTCACACTGTACTGTACTATATAAATTGTTGGCTAAGTATAGGCTGCTATACTATAAGGCACTATAGTATAACGTAGTCTGAAAGCAGCTTAATGAGTTACATGTTTCATTGAAAGAATGTCGCAACTTTTAATTTACGCATTCATTTACATATTCGCACTTTAGTTGTCTAGTGATATGGATCTTTTTGAAAAAGTTTATGTGTGTGTTTTAATACGTAATTATGTGATTAACGTTTGTTATAACTTTATCAAATTTATCGCTAATTAAGCAAAACGATTGATCGATTATTACCGTTATGATATTGTGAAATAATACATAATTAAAATGAGATTATCGGTTAGCGAAAGCGTGTATGTTTACTTTGTGATTTAGATTAGAACCTATTGTAACTAATTTAAGGTTTCTGATTAAAAAACACTAAATGCAAATCGACAGAAGTTGATCTGTATTTAACTACATTTTATGTTTATTTTAGGTTGCTTTAATGCATTGAAACATTCTGTGTTTAGAGCAATTCTAAACATGAAGTTTGTATAACTATTTTTCTAATTTTGAAATAGAATAATAATTTTGACAATACAGGCATTGTAAGTCAATCAGAAATTCAGGTCGTACATGCAGGTGTTGTAACTACATTAAAATAAAATAAAAATAACCTTCTCTCTGAATATATCGAATCATTGAAGCGACCAGTACAAATTACAGTCCACGCTCTACAAATTCTGTTTCCCGCGAAAATTATCGACATAAACGTCGCTATGGATGGCTTCACTAGAATCCGAATTTATTACATTAATTTTAAGCTATAAAACAAGATAATTGAACACGGGACAAAGGTGCGTTTCGACACGAAATTTAAAAGCCGCGTGATGTAAATTGCGATAGTTAACTTAAGTGTCAATCTGTTTCTGTTTAAGTAAAAAATTTAATCCATTGTAAAAATTAAACGCATATTCCGTCCCTTAAATCGATATACATCTTTGGCGGTTCTATTAATAGCGGTGATTAATGATTCAGGGCGTTATAGGAAGTGAGATAATTATAATAATTAAATAACACAACTAGTTACTCCTAGCGTTTATTTGCGACCCAATTGAAAAAAATTATAAATAATAGTTTAAAAAAACTAAAAAAATACGCTTTTATAGAAAATCGAACTAAAAAATAGATAATACATTTTAATAAATTTGAGTTAAAAATAGTGTAAGAAAAAATGATTTTATTGTAAAAAAAGCGTGTGTTGCATGGCATCAGTAGTTATAAATATTTTATGAACAGATATGAATAGCAGGGTTATTTTGATAATATCCTGAAAAGTACCCCACGGTTTTTTACAATAAAATCATTTTTTCTTACACTATTTTCTATAAAAGCGTATTTTGTTAGTATTTTTAAACTATTGTTTATTTTTCATTTTTAAGTTGACTTTCAATTTTATCAATTTTTTTTTATATTGAATTGTCATCGGTCCTTAATGAGTATACCAAATTTCGAGTTAATCCGGTTTTTTGAAGGGGTCAACATGTTTCAAGATTCCGTTACATATTAACATACTAACATACATAAGTCTGAAGCTAATAAAAGCGTATTAAAAAGAAACGGAGCTTGCGGGCGCAGCCGCATGTTATGACTACGCATACTTTTGTTTACAAAACAAGCTGTGTCCCTACACATCTAAAATTATTAAAAAATAATAATAATTTTAGCCTCTATTATATAGTTTCCCAGTTTAATTCCTAAATCCTGAACTGAATATTTAGTAATGCGGTCTGACCGTGTGTCTTTAATGTGGTATTTTTGAAAATTAATCATTGCTGGGCGGGAACCACGATTGTTCTAAGATTAAAATATAAGTCCTAGTATAATCGACTTTAGATTTAAATTTTTTGATTGAATATATAATTTTATTACACGGCTCTGCAATGCTTTAGTGAATAATCGAATAATTCGTATTAATATAGGTAGGTACGTGATTGTAATGTATTAAACTATTTCTTAGTAACGGGACTATGAGTAGCTCGATAATTTTAAGATGTATAGTAAAATTTTAAGCGGCTCTGTAATGTGATTGTTATTATGATATTGAATTCAATCATGTTTAAAATGATTTCAACGAGAATTTCATATAATAATAAAATAAAGGATTTTACGTTATACATTTATTAGAATAAGTAGATTTATTTTTTTATTATTGTAGGATTACTGGTGGCCCGGAGGCCTTTCCAGTTTCACCAGGACAGGTGGGCGAGCAAAGGCTCAGCCAGGAGGGGTGGGATTTGCTAACAGCTACCCGAGCGCCTCCGAAGGAGACCTAACAACTCTACTACCGGATCGGAATCGCGACCCGCTGTGCAGATCCGGCTAGAAACTCAGCGAGCTGATGCATGGGTTAGGTTGCACGTACGGTTACCGGTGTCCCTAATCCTGCTCCTAGTGTTAGAGCTGAAGGCTTCTAAGGCAAAGGTTATTGGATCTAAGGGATCCGTAAAGACGTGTGTAGATTTTGTGTGGGCATCTATGTGTCTATGACTCTCAGGACAAGTTCGTTCTATACTGCTGTAGATTGCTGTAAGTATATTATGTGTAATAATATGTTAAATACATTTAAGTTGTCATGAAAACGGTGGGATAGCGATTTATGTACAACAAAGTTTTAAATTGAGTAACATAATGAATATTACTTAAGTATTGAGTATATTGTGGCCATTAGTATAATCGTGCTCGAGGGAAAGCTTCGTCGAAGACTCTATTCCTTAAAGCTCATTTTCAGCTCTAGCAAAACTATGGTTGAGATCCGGCGATTTTTTCCAGAACCAAAATAAATAAAAATTCAATTTAAATGTTTCACATTGTAATAAATATTAATTGTTTTAGGTGTACGACTATTTTTAGGTTATGTTTTTTGTTTAAATAATTTATCTAGAAACTGCAATTGTTGTGTTCATGGCTTCCAGTCACCACTTAACAATGTGAGGTCCGTGGACCACCTATCTAATGAAATAAGAAAATGTTTTGATGATTACATTTTCGAATAAAATGTTTTAGTAGAAACATATTATTAAATATTAAGATATTATTGAATTCTAAAAATATTATATTAATGTAATATTTTAATATATGTAAATCAAACATATCGTGCCATACTCATAATCGTGAAGAAATATATGATAAAAATATTTATTTTTGAAATAATAGTAGTTTTTATAAGTAATTATCGTTCATTAGTGAGAGCTCAGAGCATCATTCTATCTCTCTCGCACTCTTCTAGCGTGACGTCAATGTTCATTATAGGTATGCTTAGTCGTTTGAGAATAATTATCCTAAACCTAGATTCAAAAAGTTTCTAATTTATTTCCGAACGGAATTATTATATCCTTAAATTTAAATTTGGGAAGACGTAGCTTATTTAATTTAAAAAATAAATAGTCGACGTCCCTATTGACTAGAACCGTAGATATTGATTGATAATTTGAGAATTTTGTTGACTGAGATGTGTAATGCTTAGGAATACTTTGTACATGTGATATTTTAAGCGGAATATTTTTAGATTTATTTTATTATAGTAGATTCCCGTGGGATACGTATTCGTTGAACTTGACCGATAAAGGCAAATTCATTTTTTCTTTTTCCTCGTCGCTAGTAGTCTATGGGGCTATTTAGATACTTGAGTCGTCTATTATCAAAGGTGGCAATCTGTGCATTTGGACAAAAAATTTTTATTGATATGTCAATACAGATTGATTTGAATATAATCGTCTCCTTCAAAGAATACGGTTCAAAACCTGCATTAAATAAAGGTTAATAGTTAACCTGTTATTTATCTAAGATGTCGTTCCGAAGAGTTTTGTGACTGCCAATGGAATACAAAGTCAATAATTCGTTTTTCTGATTTACCAATAATTGTCCAAAAGTCAGATTGCCGGCTTTGATAATAGTCGACTCACTTATGGACTGGTAGGCGAGCTCACGAGCTCAACATACGCTATGAGAAGTTGCTGGCTCTGGCCCTAGCAAGACTAATGCTTCGCCGAATCTACCACCGGTTCGGAGTCGCGATCCACTGAGAAGATCCAACGGGAATATCAGTGGATATCTGTGGGATGTATTTGCATTTATTACACAATTGTTAGTTAAAAACGCATTTGTTTATTCTAAAACTTACGTTGTTAGGGAGTCTGCATTAAATTTGTTGTAACCCAAAACGTGTTTGTTTTAATTTTAAGGTTATCTATAAATTTGTTTGAAATGTTAATGATAATGAAATACAGGATATTTTGTACAGGATATATTTGTCATGTTTTTTTTCTTTTCGCTCATACTTAAGTTTGCCACAAATTAAATTTATATTTCAGTTTCGTATTTGTTATATTGAGGGTAGAAAAAACCGTTTCATCACTGATTGACTGCTATGGTTAGCGGCTGGATTATAGTTTAAAATTTATATTGTTTTTTCGGCAAATTAAAACGATCTTAATGCAAAGGAAACTTCAGAAGCTTCTATAGCTTAATAAAAACGGGTGATGCGATTCATTAAAGTGTTTGGTGGCAACGTTATGATTATGTGGTAGGAGCTCTTGTGAGTCCGCACGGATAGGTATCACCACCCTGCTTACTTTTGCCGTGAAGCACTAATGCGTTTCGGTTTGAAGGATGGGGCAGTCGTTGTAACTATACTGAGACCTTAGAACTTATATCTCAAGGTGGGCGGCGCATTTACGTCGTAGATGTCTATTGGCTGCAGTAACCACTTAAAACCAGGTGGGCTGTGAACTGGTCCACCTATTTATGCAAAAAAAAACGTTATGATTAGCGATTAGATCATGTGCCTTGTGTTTTCCATTATTAATTTAATAAATGGTAGGAAAATAGGATTCGAGAAATTCGAGAATGTAGAAAGGCAAAAAGGTAGGTAGGTTAGAAATTGAATGATGCGATACACCAAGATTCAAATTCTGTCCCTGGTATCAGTTTTCCTAATTAATCCTGTCATGTGTTCAAGTTTAATGAAGAATGGAATTACAATTGATGAACTTTAATTCGGGATCTAGGTTTTGCTCCGTCATAGAGATTTTATCCCACTCACCTAAAGCGAGTCTTGGTATGTGAAGAGTAATGTAGATTTTCACGACAACCCCAAAATCAAGGCACTACGTAGTGCTTGCTGAATACAGCGTCAGAACGCTTCTTTGAATAAGCGGCGCGACGCGATAATTCTATTATCGTAGCCTCCTCTAATGTACCTGACCCAGACCATGGGGCAACCCGCAATCGCTACCACCAAATCATGTCTTATCGGGTCAGGTCCGATCCCACGAGAGTTCAACGTGCAACCTACATAGAGACATAATCTACCGAGTTTCTTGTCAGATTTTTTTCAGTGTGTCGCGATTTAGATCCGATGGTAGATTCAGCAAAGCACTTCTCTTGCTAGGGCTTTTTTTTTGTCAGTAGGAAAACTCCGGATTTCCGCCCTCCACTGGGGTTGGAGGGCGGGGCATGACGGAGTCGAACTGACTAAACCTCCTGCCGCTCAATAACCCACGTCCGAACCTCGCATGACACAGAAGTCATGAAAAGGCAAAGGGGGGAGTGTGAAGGGAAAGTGAAGCGTTTAGTGCGGAGCACATCTCTCCCATCACCCTCCCCCTCGGGACGCCGGACCGGCGATCGTCCTGTTGCTAGGACTAGTGTTATTAAGTTCTCTCAGACTGAGCCATGTGAGTTCGCCAAACAAACGCAAGATTAATTAGCATTTCTATATTAATTCAAATACGTTAAACCTTTGTTTGTACTTAAATGACGTCATTATATGTTTTATTTAAACAAATAGCTTAGCCTATATCTTTATATACCTACTCTGTGTACTATTCAAATGTTTATGACCTTTTATAATTTCAACTCAAAGAAGGTAAGTAGTCATGACTTGAGCATTTTTAAGGTTTATTCATCAATGCGGTGTATAATGATACTCAGGTCGCAGAAACAAGTAAAAAATGTTTATTTTAATAAATAATGAACATTTGTGAAGTGGTGACGTTGATAGATGGATGAAAGAGGTTCATGTCACAGGTAAATTTTTTTTGAGGCAACGGCTTCATTTTCGTTGTGCCACTCTTGATGTCAACGCCTTAAAAAGCGATAACATTTTCAATTATTTACTAAAAAATAACTGCAGTGAATATTTAAAATATATTTCAATGTATGTATTTATAAAATTTGTTAATATTTTCCAAACTTTTTTTGTAAAGTAATGATTATTGAATTGCGGTAAGTAATCGAATTCAGTTCATTATTTAAAGTCTCACTCAAGTAACTCAAGTAAGTAAAATAAGTTTTGCTCAACTAAAATAGACAATAAAACGTAATAATTTATTAGTACTTATAGTTTATGGACGAATACAACAAATATCAAAAGTTGTTTGAAATTGAGTGTTGTTGTTACATCTTGTCAGTTCTACTTTAATGTTATTAAACACAATATATAATATTTAAATAATATAAATTACTTTAAAAAAAAGTATAAAAATAATGTTAGTTTTAATTTTAATTTAACGATCTCTTGTAGTATCAATTAAATTTATTATTTAGATTATTCTTTATTAATAGATTATTCTTAGTCTGGTAGAAGAGCAAAGAGTCATCGTAACATTATAAATAAATATTGTTTTAAATGTAGCTTGATTGCGGGACAGTTGTTGAAGAATACGCTTAGGTGAATAAAACTAATTTTATTTCTTTTCATTTGTTATAAAATATAGTTTTTCAAACGGAATTTATGACAACTGTCCCCAATATCGTGCTATATTTAACGGACTATAGCAGTTGTGAGAAAATTACGTGCTATTGTTAATACTAATAAATATACTACCTATACTAGTAATAATAGTAAAAATAAAATGCAGTAGTAATATTTACTACTAATTTTAATGACATTCAGCTTAAAGTAATTATAGTCATATTTGTATAATCGCAGAATGTACTGAAAAAAACAATTTCAGTCAAACATTTTCATCTCTTAAATGTCAAATTAAGGGTGCGTTTCTCCGCTACACTGGCTAGCTCCACTCCGTTGGATAGGCACTCTTAATCTAATCTACGTTTTAAAATTAAACATTAACAATAGGATGCATCTTCGTCGATTCCTGGGAGGTACTCCATCATGAGACTTCGACTTTCTCTCGTACTTTCCTCAGGATGCTCTGAAGCTCTGATGCCGAGGTCGTCTTGTACTGGAACAAATACATCATTATCATCATTATCAAACATATTATATTTCATACAAGTAGGTATATGAATACTGTCTAAAAAAATAATTGGAAATTCAATTCTATGGTGCATGAACATAAATTAACAAATTTAGGAAATATAATCAGAACGATCCAAATTGTAACATTATCTTAACTAGTGGTCCAGTGGTCAAAATTCGACCATAATTAATTTAAATTATAAGCTACAAAATTATTATGGTTAATTATCAAAAACTATACTTCTACAATTAAAGGTTTCGCCAAGGTTACGCTATAGACTAATAATATAAAGACAAACAATATTAATCTATTATCAATTAGATCACAGACTTTAACAAGACTTTTTGGCGGGAACGCGAGGAATGAAGTTGTATGATTTGTTTTATTTTGTCTATTTAGTGTTTCTTCAGGTTTAAATATGTAATAACGCTGGTTTATTAACTGATTAGTATCTGTGAAAGTGCACGAATGTGGGAAAATGAAACAAAGCCGCTGAACGTAGCTACTGGGGATACTCCAAAAAGTCCACTGAAAAAATCTCAGTAAATGACCACCATTTTACTGATATTATATTTCATCCAATATCATCACATCTCATCTCAACTCATTTCATTTCATTTCATCTCATTTAATTTAATTTCGTTTTCATTTCATTTCATTTCATGCCATGTTTCATATTAATCAGCCTCATTTCATTTCATATATCATTTTTCATGTAAAGAAGTTTTCATTAAAATTAAAATAACACTAGACCTAAAGTTCTTAGTTACCAGGTCATAAAATCCCTTAAAAAAATACTTTAACAATAAACAAAAGAGTAAAATGCATGTGTGGGTCAAATACATGGTAGTGTGTGTAATGTTTTATTTATTGATTTAATTAATTTTTTGTATATAATTTAAAAAAAAATTTAGCATGTTGCACTCCTCTATATTCTCTATAAGTGTGGGAAATTTCATAATCCTCCGTCCGCGCAATCTTCGTAAAAGGGGTACAAAGTTCACGTTCACTTATTAACATATTTAGATTTAAAGAGGGTCAAGATTTTATCATTAAGCTATTTTATATTTTTGGATCTCATCCTCCAAACTCTGACGCAAGATTATCTGGTTAAGGCAAATGGATGTAAGATGATGCAGTGCAAATCGTCAGAGGCTTAGTATCTAAAGCTATGACAGCCTCACCGTGAACTCCACTCACCCCAGACACGTTCCTCTGGACCAAAATTTGGCTGTACAGTCGTTTCCCCTCATCCTGGCCCAGTGCCCTCTCCAGCTGAGATCTGGACAGCGCGAATAGCTGGTGTCCCGACATCCTCAGCTGGCGTTGGGCGGCATTGCTGAAACCCTTTGCTTCGAGCCATTCCACAACCTCGTCCGGATTCGATTTCTGAAATAGTTTTTTTTTTATTGCGCTTGTAGGCAAACGAGCACGCGGCCCACCTGATGGTGAGTGGTTACGTCACCCATGGACTTCAGCAATGCCAGGGGCAGAGCCAAGCCGCTGCCTATCACTTAATACTCTCCACAAGTCTCGTTTGAAGAAGGACATGTCATTGCGTTCGGGAAACACCGTGGAGAGGAGCTCATTCCATAGCCGGATTATCAGATGATTAAAATTGTTTTCTTGTAAGATACCGAAATGTTTGATTCGGTGAAGGTATTATTAATTGGGGATGTAATAGCTTGTATAATAGTCGAGAAATTTCTTACCTGATCAATGAATATATCTGGAGTCTTCTTGATGTCGAGTTTGTTTCTTCTTTGCTGTATCTGGGGCAGTACTAGCTTCAGTTCATCGTGGAGACTGCCGCCAGTGCTCATTATCGATTTGGTGGCTGTAATATAAAGTTCGTTGTCTAAGTCTACCTATCCCATTAGGCTACCGGCGAGTAAACAGGGAATAAAGCGGAGGTTTTAGTAATTTAAAATCCCAAGATTACATTGGTGGGTAGTTGAACATAACTGACTGACTGTTAGTTTTAATAGTAAATTCGTCTTGTCCATTATTCGGATATTTTCTTAAATTCCATTCCAGTCGTGTAAAGATTATAGTACGGTTTGTATGTAAAAGGCATAAAAAAAAACAATTTAACTGTTTTTTAATTTTTAAATAAACTACTACTAATTGAATAAGAACTGTCTGATGAACTCATATTTGTTTAATACTTCACTATTAAAATTTATTGCCTTTTGTTTATTTCACTTTTACACTAAACACAATATTGCAAATTACCCGAGCATAACAATGGCGGAGAATTTTAGGTGCGTGAGAGCAGATGTAGACACTAACGCGCATGCGCACTTGTCAGTACCCAGGGAGAAAAAGTTACACTTTCTTCCCTGTACAGCGGGACGAAAATCGACCTTTGGGCGTCGCGGCGTCGGTAGGAGAAAAAATTAGTTTTTGTAACTAACAGGTGCATGCTTACATTTCAAAGTATCAGATTTGATGGGTGGCGGTGATGGCGGCTCCGGGGGTGGAGGAGGCGGCGGCGGGGGCGGTGGAGCTGCCGCCTCAATCTTTGGCGCTGGTCTCTCTGTGAATCATCCGTTACGTGTGAAGACTTTCTTGATACCGTAGTTACTTGCTTATTACTGATGTAGCATTATTTTAAAAAGCCCATGACCCGATAGGGGAGATACTATCATTAAAAAGATTAAGGTTTTGTTTTCGATAAATCGCAAGAAGCTGCATCTTTACCAATATGACATTGCTAGATATAGGTTTCTTCCACGACACTTTCAAACCCTATTGATGTTACCCATTTTATTTCGGTCTTTCGCAAGACCTTTACTGAAACTTATACCTATAGAATTCACGCCTCCGAAGAAGATTTCACAGCTCAAAGGCTTCGCGAATCCATCTACTAGTGAATATTGGGCGAAAAACTCAGCGGGCTGATGCTATGGGCATATGTCACACGTTGAACTCTTCGAGTTGAGTCGGACGCGTACGGTCACCGGGAGTTCTATGTGAGATCCTAGTTCTGCAGACGTCTAATAAAAGTGCTAGTAGAACAGTTGAATCCTTAAGGACCTAATATAGTGCCTAATATATTTTTTAGTACGCCACTTAATACCATTAAATATTACGTTACCTAGAAAGAGGTTGTATTCCTCTTTCCTCCTTATATTGTATTTAAGGTTGTAGAGGAAAAATATGTATGGAAATATACAAATGTTTTTTAAAGGTTAAGCAAAGGGATCTATTTTTTTTTTATAGGCATACGGGCTTAAAACCAACTAGGGCTCGTTGACCAAAATGTGAATATCGTTTCGTGACAATGGTTAAAGTCTGAATCTTCAAATACAAACGCATTTTTTGATGCAGAAATAGTTCAGTGCAAACTCACAATATATGTCGTGTTACCACTACCATGGGTTTATGTCACGATTTTGATTTAACTTCGAGGATTTTCTATTTCACTACTTATTTTGGATAAGGTTAAAGCTGTGGTGAAAGCCTATCGTGTCTATCAAATAAGCGAATTCTGTTAATCCAATCTTATAGGTAACATGAAGGTATCTCCCCAAAATGATTAATTGATTAATCAGACATTAAAACGAAGCTAAAACAAACACAAACTTACCGCGCAACGACACAGTTCCGAAGCAAAGCGTTTTTGCACACAGCACACACGAACACACAAATTAGGTATTTAATTAATAATAACACGCAAATATGAAACTTTATCAGCCTTTTTAGATAAGGCCAGTTGTTTGAACTGTCCGAAATTTTTGATTGTAATGACTGATTGTGGATATCTATGATTCGTTTGGTATAAAAGGCGCCACCATGTTGCTCAAATTATAAGTCGTCGCTACGAATGTGTTGAGGGCGACACAATAGGCCGGAGGTACATCCAAAACGATTTGATTAAGGAAACGAATGTGTGTCGTGTAGTAATTGATCATTAGAAAAAAGTTTATTAAAATTAAAAAAAATAAAAAAAATATTGGAAACTTATTTTACTTTCGAATGTTTTTGAATAAAGCCTAACTAGGAATAATTTAAATTTGTTTGTATGAAGATTTAGTTTTGTAAATATTTTATAAATAGCTTGTTCCGTGTTCGAGTTTCGTGAATTTCAAGAAACGTTCGGAAACTAAGGATGGAACTCTTTTTAGAAATACACAATATAAATATATTTTTAAAGAATTTAATGTATAAATAGTAAATACAAACATGATTAAAATATAATATGGCGAAGTGAACGAGCCGAAAGCAATTAAATTATAAAGATATATTTCGGTTCGTACACTCCGTTTCATATTTCGATATTACAATCTTCTTCAATACAAAAACATGGCCATATTTTATTTTCACATAAAACTACTTTTGATTTGTGTAAACTTTTTTTTTTCAATGAGTTAAATAGACTCTTTACAATATAACAGATAAAATATTAAGTAAAATGAAAACTAAAATAAAAAAGTATCGATTCTAAACGTATTATAAACATAGAAAAAAATTCAGACTTTATTTGAATTAAGAAAGGGGACTCAAACGAATGGAACGAATGTAACATTACCACGAACCAACTCAATGTTTTTAGGTTTTTAATTTTTTTTATCAGCCTTTATATCAGGTCTATAATGAGCAGAGGGCACTCTATTGTGTGAGAATCGCAGTTTGAGTGTTTTTATTTTAAATTAGGTTGGTAACGACTCAAATATTTAGTACACAATCCAATGATACTCTAACATGAACATTGCAACTTGAAAATACATTTGGCCGCCCGCACACTACAACAATCTTTGCGCACGAAACCTTAGACGCTATTTGGGATCCGTGCATTAGAACTCTCCAAGTATACAATGATCTCTGCTTGGAAAGTCTTACGACTTTTAAGCACGAATGATTCCATGAAAAAAACCAAATCTAAATGCAACAATATGAAACAATTATTATGGTTGAAAGAAATAAAAAAATAAAACATAAAAAACACAACATTTAAAGCATTACAAACAGTTTCACACAAACAGCAACATGTAACATTTAAGCAAGAACGGAAAACTATATTTAAGGGCTTGATCCGATATTAACGCCATCCATCTTTAAAAAAAATATTTTAGGGAATTTTAGAGAAGAGTCTTTTTTCATTATGGAGTTTATACATGAAGTTGGTCTCAATGTACAACTAGCAAAAAGGCCTTTATCTTTATTATTCGTGTACAAATGGTAATTAAATTTGATGAACAATATTAAGAAAAAAAGAAAATACATTCTATTTCGATAACGACAAGGTATATTTTTGTGACAGAAGTTCTGAGGTAGAAATCAAGCTGGTAAATATAAGTAGAATAAATCAAAATCAAACTTTATTTGTTACACAGTAATTATTAATTTTAAATTTAGTAACTAATATCAATGCGCAATCGACAGGAGCACAATACGGAATAGTCTAATATTTTTAAAACAAGGTCACGGAAAGTGAAAAAAAAAAACAAAAATATACTACTCGATACAAGTTACAATTGATATAGTACTTTAAAGTATAAAAAATATATTATAGATATACCAGCATACAATAAATATTTACTTAATGTAAAACTATAGAAAAAAATATGACTAAGATTTATTAAGAATTTAATACGGCACGTACAGTGCAGTGTGACGGTTTTAGATTGACGAGGTGGGAGGGAACAAAATAAATAACAGGCATATTTACTCTCTAGTTAACTTTGAAATTTATCATACTATAGGCTAACCGCGGTTAATGAATTAAAAAAAAATAGCCAAAAAAACGTCCAAATAAGTAAAGTGGTATATACACTTTGTAATTATCTTCGGTGTAATTATTTTCAGTTGTATGAATATATAATAGGTGAAAGAAAAAATCGAACGTGAGTTTAATCCTAAGCAACGGATCTTTTTTTAAAGGGAGTACGTATATTAGCATCGGTGTTGCCATCTCTTAACCGTTAATAATCTCTTAGAAATGCAAATCAAAATAGATTTTAAAATTGAGCACTCGAAGTTCTATATTAAATAACTTTAATACGAACGGATAATGTTAATGTAGATGTTTTGTATTTATAACAAAACATGATTGAAAACTTTAGCTATTGAACATAGTGCAACAGAGCTTTAATAAGAACTTTAATCGTAAAAATGGGCTCTCTTAATTATCTTACAAAGTTTGTTCGTAAAAAAAAAATGTTGTTAAATAACCTATCGTGATTTAGTAACGTTTGAATCGCTTCTGCTGTAGTAAAACCTATTCAAAAAACACCGCGCGGTAAAACACTGATTTCATGTACATAGATGACATCATATTTATCTATACTAATATATAAATCTACAGTGTTTTTTACGGATGTTCCGTTATAACTACTGAACCATGCATCCGATTGACTTGAAACTTGGTATCCGTGTAGAAAATACATGTACTTCATGGATAGGCTAATATTTATATTAGTGTTGGATTTGGAATAATAATGTCAAATTTAAATGCCCAGCGAAACGGGCGAGTACGGCTAGTCGTTTCTATTATCGGTTGTCGATGGTTGACGGAGTTAAAAGTATCGGAACTCGCCCTTTTTGCCGAGCCGTTCCCGGCGGACCCAGTCCGCGGCGCCGGGGCCTCCCCCGCCCCCTCCGCCTCCCCCACGGACCCCCTCCCTACCCGGTGCCGCAGTGGGACTGCTGCCGCCCGACGCTCTCCCCCCTCCATCCTGCCAACAACGAGAACTCTGATAACAAAATCTCAGAACTGGATATTCGAAGCGTTCCAAGTTCAACGGCCCGAATCTTGAAGTTTCTCCTGTGTTATTGAATCCGACCGGGACTCGGATCCGGATCCCGTAAAACAGTAGTCTAATTGACGAAACAGCTTAATAACAAATCTCCTTCTGCGAACATTCTGAGTTCTATGCTTTCGAAACACCTCTTTCCTGTTTTAAAATTCTAGATTCGATGGAGACTAGGCAGTAGCATTCTATGAGTCTAATTCTAAAATAGTAATAGGTAAAAAAATAGATACAGGCATAGTTGAGATGTTTCATTCAGATAACTTACACTCTTTTTCACTGGCTTCTAGTCTCATATAACACTGCACTTTGTAGGAATGTATCTACCGTGTTATAGGTAGGTACCACTACTCCGCCTATTTCTGCCGTGAAGCAATAATGAGTTTCGGTTTGAAGGGCGGGGCAGCCGTTGTAACTATACTCAGACCTTAGATCATATCTCAAGGTGGGTGGCGCGTTTACGTTGTAGTTGTCTATGGGCTCCAGTAACAACTAAACACCAGGTGGGCTGTTGGCTCGTCCACCCATTTATGAATTAAAAAAAAAACTGGTCCAACCAGCGTATTGAACTTCTGCCTGTGGGCCAGCCGGAGTACTATTAGTGCGTAAATGTTAAAAGTACGAACCTGGTAATGTGTGTATATCGGATTAGGGTATAGGTGTGGTGACGAAGGCGGGGAAAACGCGGGAGCCACGATGGTGTGTGGCACGTGTGCTGACACGCCGCGTCTGTTACGTGCCTTCCACCATTTTCTCGAATCGTCTAGAACCTGATATAGAACAATGTCGGATGAAAGATTAGGCACGGCATGAAGTTGAAATTTTGATATATTGAAACACCATGGAAAATAAGTATAAAGTAAGTTAAGAGACCTTTCTCCAAGCCCTCTTATTTCTGGACTTAATTTTGTAATACAAATTATGATTTGCTTAATTACTGGTGGTAGGACGGCTTAGGAGTCCGCACGGGTAGGTACCACCACCCTGCCTATTTCTGCCGTGAAGCAGTAATGCGTTTCGGTTTGAAGGGTGGGGCACTCGTTGTACTGTAAAAACTGAGACCTTAGAACTATTATCTCAAGGTAGGTAGGTGGTGGCATTTACGTTGTAGATGTTTATAGGCAGATATGAAGTGGTTACCGGAGTAACCACTTCACATTAGGTGGGCCGTGAGCTCGTCCACCCACTTAACGCATTTAATGTCGAACACACTGCGCTGTGGAGGGTCGAGGGCCCGGATTCACGGCGCCGTTGTGCGTGCATTGATCAATATATTGATCTTATAAGATCGCTACTTTACGCATATGTCCATATGCGTCACATAATGCTATCAACACAACGATGGAAACGGTACATATTGCTGCATAAAAAGAAACATAATTACAAGCCCGGCGCCGTGTGCTCGGTTCCCAAATCCTTCATGGCGCCGTGTGGTTGGCATTAAATGTCTTGAGCAATAAATAAAAAATACAATAAATTTAAACTAGCCGTATTTGAATAAACCCGCAGGAAGCCACTTTTTTTTCTACTGAAATACGTACTTAGCTCATGCTTGAGATTGGGAGAATTTGCTAGAATTCTGAACAAGATTAGAACTTACCTCTAAATACTCTCCCCTAACGACAGTTAATTCTTTATCGTTATTTGCAGTGCGAGGGTAGGTGACGCGCACAACGCGGCCTCCCCGGGCCGCAACGCCCCGGGCCCACGCTTCACCCAAATCTGCTGAAAAAATTAATAAGTTTAAAAACCCTGTCTAAGGGAGTTTATATTTTTTAGAATAGTCGCTCCCCAATAGTCGAAATTCGGCTATAATTAACTGTAATTAAAACTTTGACAATTATTATGGTTCTATTGTCAAAGACTTCTTTAATCACAGATCTCATCTCCTTTTTATCATCGCACCTCCCGCCATCGGAGCAGAGTTCATCCATATTATCTGGAACCACTGCGTTCATTGACAGTGCGTTTCCAAAGATCTTTTTTGCCACGTACCATACGGCTTTGGAATGAACTCCCCTCCACAGTGTTTTCCGAGCGCTATGACATGTCCTTGTTCAAACGAGGCTTTTACAGAGTACTTTATGGTAGGCAGCGGCTTGGCTCTGCCCCTGGCATTGCTGACGTCAATGAGCCTTAGTTCAGGCACGGAATGTTATTATTATTATCTTGCTTTGTAAGAGACGCGTAAACAATTTTGAAACATAAGGCTACAAAAATATATTAAACAAAAATTCAATTGTGGATTCTCGTTGGCTCTTTTGATTGACAACCGACCACTGGTCTGTAGTTTCGTTTTTTGTTTAATCGAAATTTGATGCCTTTGTGATTGTTTATGGACAAATTGCATTCGGAGAACTGTAGAGACTATTGTTTACCTTCATCTCGGTCTGCGGGGCGATACGGAGGCTCTCTGTCGGGCGATGAGGCAGCGGAGCCCGAATCTTCGCGGCCGATTGGTGGTCTCAAGTTATTTCTGAAATTTAATAATAAAATTTCTCATGTAACAGAACTGTATCCCTTTTTCAGCTTGAGGCTGTTTCAGCTTTGCCTTGACGTGTAGGTGAGCTCACGGGGCTCAAACCGGCCCCCTGATCACGTAAAAATTTGCGACAGCCACAATTTTGCAGATGTTGTGCAGACGCGTCGCGACCGATCGCAAAACGTCAAATTATTTCGTATCACGTACCGCGATTGTTCGCTTACCGCTTACTGCAGTTTTCTGTCATACAACTAGCGCCAGTCGCAATCGGGTAGCAATAATTGGCACTAAAAANTTCGTATCACGTACCGCGATTGTTCGCTTACCGCTTACTGCAGTTTTCTGTCATACAACTAGCGCCAGTCGCAATCGGGTAGCAATAATTGGCACTAAAAAGCCACATTACTTTTTTTTTTTTTGCTGAACAAACCGGCAAATGAATTTATAAAAGCGCGTTACATATAAACATTTCAAAATGTTTAAGTGGAATTCACGTTTGAAACGCCAAGTGAGAGCTGCTAATTCTGTTCTTTTCGATGAAGCGTTACTAAAAATAAGTGATCTAATAATATTTTTTGCTTTATTTTGAATAATAGCTATAAAAATGTAATTGTGTCATGTCAAACACTGATAACATTTTTTTTTGTAATCGTTTGATAATTTGTAATCAGATAGTTGTTTACGTTACGAACCTATTTTAAAAAAGAATGGATCAAAATTATAGCCTAATTTATTAATTTCATTATCAATTAAGTAAGTACATCAGCTCACAACCCATCTAGTGTTAAGTGGTATAGACCTCACAACGTGAATGCCGCCCCCACCTTTAGAAACGAGGTCTGAGTTTCAACTGTATACCAAAACGGCTGCCCCATTCTTCAAATTGCAACGCATTACTGCTTCGCGGTAGAAATGGGCGGAAGGGTGGTCTTGCGGGTTAATCAAACGCCCTACCACCAATGAGTTCTTAAAGAATATTTGCTAATTTGATTTTAAATAAAAGATGAATGAATCCTTAATCATGGAAGTCTTCCATGTATATATGTCAAATACGTGTTTCATTGGATTTATTGATATCTACCTGCGGGATTCTAACACTGGTTCAGTCGCATCTTTATTAGAAAGTCGGCCGTCTCTACTACACCGCTTAGGCCACGACGATTTCAAATTAAATAGTAAATTCTAGAATAAATGAGTTCGTTTTATGGTTTTATCAATAATAACGTGTACAACAGATCCATCTCACGCCGACATGAGGCCGACAACGCTAGAACAACCAGTCGATGATATTCTAGGCGAGATGTTGCTATTCTTTATCAAGTAATAGATAGTGGATTCGTTTGACTTGGCAAGAGTAGGCTTTGATTTGAATACCAGAAATATAGTGCACTCTTTCACAGCTTGAAGGGAAATAAAAGCTGTGCAGACTATTCAAAATAATGTTCACCCAAGGTCATGGGCAATATGACGTGAATTGAAAACTGCATGTCAGACATTAACTTAATGTTCTATATTATTTTTAAACAAATGAATCTAATATTTTAAGACAATAAATAAATATTTATTTTTATTATTAGCCCAGTTTTTCGTCGACGAAGCCATCTTAAGAGAAGCTTCATTGCAAATATCAGGCCGATATTTAGTAAGTTATTTTTATTCAACAACCAGGTACCCTTTGCACTCACTCACTGCAGTAAGAATATTAATCAATCATTATATTATCTAGACTATAGCGGACAACAAACAAGAGTAGACACATCGTGAGCTGTAGTTGTAGAAAGAGGAGAAAATGGAAACTAAGGCGAACCACTGGCTCATGCAGCTTTCATTTCAGCAGAGGCTGCTCGTACGCAGGCAGAGGCTGCGCATCTTCCAGCTGAGATATATAAAAAAATTCAAGGATTTGACCAATATCGGCCAAAACCTTGTTTAAAATAATAAGTTCAATTTTGTTTTAATTTTAGCCGAATCCGTAATAGTTTATATTACCATAAAAACGAAATAGCGCTTGTTACAATAGTCAAGCAATTCCAAATATATACGTTTTACTTTAGGCTGGTACTACAGTAAATTTTATGACACTAATGAGTATATTTTACGCTAATAAAACTACTCTCAACTTAGCATTTCAAAATGACTATTTATTTTTTTTATTGCTAAGATGGGTGGACGAGCTTACAGCCCACCTGGTGTTAAGTGGTTACTGGAGCCCATAGCCATCTACAACGTAAATGCGCCACCCACCTTGAGATATAAGTTCTAAGGTCTCAGTATAGTTACAACGGCTGCTCTACCCTTCAAAACGAAACGCATTACTGCTTCACGGTAGAAATAGGCGGAGTGGNTGAAGACTATGAAGATCAAAGATGGCTGCGCTCCCTTTATACTTGCTGGCAGCACCTAGCGGCTAAAGATGGAACTAAATTGACGGTCTATGGTTGGACATAGACAAGGAATCTAAGCTAAGTACACACTGCTTCTTCATAATACAATGCTGTATGTTTTCCTTCTCGGCACATAATATCGGTTTTATTGTTATGTAAAACCGTAATACTATGGAAAACACAAACACAAATAAAGATCTAAACCAATTACACTTACCTAAATCAAGTTAATTAATTTAATTTCACAAATTTTACACTTGCAGATAGTTAGCAACAATTCAGCACCAGATACAAAAGGTGTCGCAAATTTGACAAACGAAATTGCTAAATATCTGCTGTTGTGTGGCAGACAAAAGCATCCGTAATACCGACTTTAAGCCAGTTGTTGTTAGTTGTATTGAAAAGAATGCACTAAAGTTTCACAAATCGCTCTGCAGAGGCAGCACTAGTGATGGTCCGCGATCTGCTTTTTTGTTGTAAGTCCGTAATACGAAATGGACAGTTGACAGCAATATTTGCACAATATTTGTCTTCTGCTAATTGTCTGCGAAATACGTGATACAGCTGCGGGCGTGTTACTAACACTGGCCCAAGCAAGAGCAGTGCTTCGCAGAATTTACCATCGGATCGGGAACGCGACCCACTTAGAAGATCCGGCGAGAAACTCAGTGGGCTGTGTCTATGGGTTAATTTACTAGTCGAGCCCTTCGTCGCAGGCGACGGGTTCAGCGTGCACCGTGACCGGTGCTTGAGGTACCTAAAAGCACCGTTAATGGATCGAGAGGATCCGCAATGACGTGATGCGGCTAATGGCGGGTACTGAGAATGGCGGAAATTACCTTGGCTTATTAGGTTTCGTATCGGTATCTCTAACATATTGTATTAGATGTCATTTTGCTATGCCTTAGAATGGTCTAGGTAATATAGCAAATAGTCGATTTTCAAGTTTTATGTCGACTAAGCTGATGCTCATTGTTAATAAAGCCAATCGTTAATGACACTGTCTTCTTTTTTCCTTAAATGTTTACTGGAGCCCATAGACATCGACAACGTAAATGCCGCCAGACACTCTGAGCATGAGTTCTGACTCAGATTTACAGTACAGAATGTTTACCTTGATGCATGAATTTTAAGACACTAGATAACTCCATCTGATGGATAGCTCATTTAATTTTATGTTTTGCTTCTATAGACAAATTCAATTATAGGAAATATATAAGGATGATAGCACACATCTCGTCATTACAGTAAATTGTATTTCATATTCAACACTCAATGTGAAAGGTTTTAGGGATTTCACAAAATAAAGGATTCCAAATTGTCATTTTTGAAACACATGGTAGAGGAAAATCAATTATAATCGATTGTAAATCGATTTATATATATTTTTTCTTTTTTCTAATTGCTTAGATGGGTGGACGAGCTCACAGCCCGCATAGTTGTTATCTGGTTACTGGAGCCCATAGACATCTACAACGTAAATGCGCCACCCACCTTGAGATATAAGTTCTAAGGTCTCAGTATAGTTACAACGACTGCCCCACCCTTCGAACCGAAACGCATTACTGCTTCACGGCAGAAATAGGCAGGTTGGTGGTACCTACTAGTGTGGACTCACAAGAGGTCCTACCAATAGTAATATGAAAATAATTATGAATCGATAACATCAAATTGAAAATCGATTTGTATCATGAATCGATAACATTAAATTGAAAATCGATTTGTATCATGAATCGATTTTCAATTAAGATTCTACCTGGCGAACGGAGCGTATTGCTCGTTGTATATCTCGGGTTCCTCTCGTTCGAACGTGAAACCCGCCACCTGCCCGCCCTCGCTCCTTTCCACGCCCCGTTCCATTGTACCCCTGCCCAGCTCGCTGCGTCTGGGCGATGACCTTCACAAAGCGGACGAACACAATATGATTCGCTGACGTCACAAACATGCGACAATTCGAAGACACTACGCATAATTTTTTGCTGTTGTCGTATATTATGTTAATAATGATATCGACGCTTGAAAGGCAAACGTGACTAAGCGACGATGCGTGAACTTTACAGTAGACTAATTTAAAGTTGTAATACCTGAAAACAAAATTTATTATAACGAATTCAGCTGTAGTAGAATCTAGCTAGTAGCTGTAGGATTGAAATGATTTTAATATACCTAGAATAATATACTTTTTTTTGCGCATCGAATATGGTTATTGCCTATCATTTATGTACAAAGCAGTTATTGTAGCTTAGTCACGTTTGCCTTTCAAGCGTCGAATGTGAAGTTAGCGCTGTCAAGTTTGCAAGTAGCGCCATCTAGCGTATCGTTTTGATATTTACAAAATCGATTTTTGCAATGCTCGATTTATGATCCAACCCATCCATGATCAGTAATAAATACTAATGTTAAGTGCAGTATAAGTTATTTGATCCATTCTCATGATACATTCAATTGAATACACATTAAATAATCTTTAATTAAATGTTATTAGCAAAATGAAACATTAAAAGCATTATGTTGATGTAATTTTCTTAACGACATACTGCATTGTGATGATTCTAAACGTTTCAAACTAATTATACTATTGGCTTTATTATTCATTCGTATATTCACCTGCGTAAAGGTTGGTCATCGACTTGGTAATCTGGAGTCCACCCATCCATGAAAACTGGTTGATATGGTGGTATCTGTGTTTTCCATTGCTCCCTGTAAAATATATTTTTTTCAAATATTATTTCGTTATCCGATGAACAAACTGGCTTGGATCCACCTTGAGATATAGAATCGACGACCCAATTATATTATTTAACAACTTTCAATTCTGACAACAGCTAATGATGAATGTTACGCGATAAAAAAATTAAAAAGTTTTTCCAAAAAAATACGTCACGTATTTTAGTCAGGCAACATTTAGGTAATGATAAAAGTTACATTGCTTTGCGTTTATTTTGCTATAAGTATTCATATGAAGCTCTAAACAATGAAAATATGGTTTTATAAAATCATTCAAATGTCAAACGTACGAACGAAAGTATTGTTTTAATGTCATTAGTAAAGATTATGTGAGTCGACTATTATCAAAGCTGGCAATGTGACTTTTGGACAATTATTGTTAAATCAGAAAAACGAATTATTGACTTTGTATTCCATTGGCAGGCACAAAACTCTTCTGAACGACGTCTTAGATAAATAACAGGTTAAGTTAATACTTTATTTAATGCAGGTTTTGAACCGTATTCTTTGAAGGAGACGATTGATATTCAAATCAATCTGTATTGCCATATCAACAACATTTTTTTGTCCAAATGCACAGATTGCCACCTTTGATAATAGATGACTCATGTAGCCTATGAATAGTCACACGGCATCAGTCATTTGCTTCAACTATCAAACTCAAACGATTGTGATAGCTGGGGACAAATCACTTGTGTGCTTAGTGCGTGTTTTTTCTAACGTTGTCGATAGCGTAAAAGTTAACTCAAAAGTGTATGCAGTTGGAACAGCGCCCCTAACGGCAAACGTAGCCAAACATTCCAACTCCATGCAAATTGAAGTTAACTTTTACGCTATCGAGAACGTTAAAAAACTCATACTAAGCACACTGGCCCCCAAACCAAGAATACTACAGTACTACAGAACCCAGAGACTTATAAACGTGCTATATGCGTTGAAATATATAAATAAATAGATATTTAAACATCCAGACAAAGAACAAACAAGCCTGCTTATCGCACAATTGTTTGGCCGATGTGGAAATCGAATCGAAAACCTTAGACCCAGCGTCAGGAGCGTTAACTATTGCGCCATCAAATGAGTCAACAGATTGAAACAGAAAATACTAGAAGGAGACAAAAATATAACTAATATGTTACCATAGTATCATAATTTTGGTAAATACATATGAAATTTGGTTTTTGTAGTGTGCGTTTCGTGAAATACTATCTATATATCTTTTTTTTTTTGCTTAGATGGGTGGACGAGCTCACAGCCCACCTGATGTTAAGTGGTTACTGGAGCCCATAGACATCTACAACGTAAATGCGCCACCCACCTTGAGATAAGTTCTAAAGTCTCAGTATAGTTACAACGGCTGCCCCACCCTTAAAACCGAAACGCATTACTGCTTCACGGCAGAAATAGGTGTGGTGGTGGTACCTACCCGCGCGGACTCACAAGAGGTCCTACCACCAGTAAACAAGACCAGTAAAACCAGTAAGCAACATGGATGTTTTTGTAGTGTGCATTTTATGAAATATCATGTTTATATCTGAAGGCAAATTATACCAATTACTAAAATCTCTCTGGCATTAAAGGCTTCGTCAAACAGAGCCCCAGCGCTATAAGTACGCAGCGCTCTGTCGCGGCGTTAGGACGCTTTGACCTCAGGCGTTGTAATTTTTTACAAATTTTATTTTAGCGTCGGAGTGAATGTGTATTAAAATAGTAGATAATGTCCGAAAAAAATATATAAATAGTTAGAAAATATCCATGCTTATACAATGCCACATCTGAATCACTCGATTTCTTAATACTTTTATATTTTCACACTGCTATCGAAAGGCACTATAATTTGGCGAATGCGTTGCGTCAAGGAGCGTTGGGCTCATCTAGTCAATTTGTGTGACATGAAAAGAGCGCGACGTTAAGTACGCGACGTTAAGTACGCGACGCTAAGTACGCGTTCTGTTTGACGAAGGCTTAAAGCAACAGCTATAAAACGACCTTTGGATTAATTTACAAGGATTCCAACGAAAAAACGATATCAATAGATAAAAAAAATTATAATATTGCTTTTTGATAAGATTTATGAATTTATGATTTATTAATATAATGACTCGAAATTATACAAGGCGAACGTTATTTGAAGTTTGACAAAAAAAAACTTTTACGATTTTATAAGAACGATTACATCCTTATTTCGTCATCATTATGACAGCAGTCCGCAGACATCTACTGCAGAATATAGGTCCTTTCATGGCTCGGTCTCCACAATGATCACTGCCCGTATCACACATCAAATGTGGGACTCCATTTAGACTTAACTTTCCGGTACGCTGTATCTACTACACTTTTATCCCTTATCCACTGTTACTTCAACCATTCAATCCTGAGGCCTGTCACAGCTACCATGGTTGTCTTATGAATCTCCTCATTGACCCAGGAACATTCTGATCTTAGCAATCTCTATTATTCTTGAGATGATTTGAGCCTTCCAATAAGGCCTGTTGTTAGCGAAATAATAATTATTAAGCTCGTATTATTAGCGAATTAAGTGGGTGTGCATGTTTTCCGTGAATGAAGTCGGACAATTGATAATGTATCATCATGTTTGTCCCGCATAACGTTCTTGTTCGATGATTTTCATTCATAACAACTAAACACAGAAGCATGTAATCATTGTTTATCTCTATGATACAGTGGTACTGTATAATGTATTAATTTTGACGGATTAAAATTCTTTGTATGTAATTCAAAAATAGCTTTATCGTTTTTACAATTATTTGCGCACAGTACTGAGGACGAATATTAATTGTCTGTTTGGATGCGAGTATGACAATAAAAAAACGCTAATTTACCCCGAAAAAGTGGTTTTAATCGTGTCTTTTTTATTTACCCCCCCAGACGTGGTTTCATTAGCGTTCCATTTATAATTCTGAAAGAAAGACAACGCAACTTCCCTTGACAAGGAGTTGCTTTTGCTACTCTTCAATCCATAGACTTTGTTCTTATTCTTCTTACGCTTGGTTCACATTAGATCGACGTAGCATATTCTCTTAACATGTTGCTTAGGGATTTTGTAGTTTTACGTAAGTATATCCGTAAATGAATGAGATCACCTCTCATCCATTGCAACGTGCCAAGCAAACCGATTTGCGTTTAACCGGTCTTTAACAATGTTATTAGATAATAACGTGCTTCAAACGCCAACATACGCCAGGCTTGTGTAATGCTATAGTAGGGTACAATAAGTCTACACTGTTAGATGGCAGTCTATTTGGGTCATAAGCCCCTATTTAAATGTTGAGACACTTATTACTATATAACTGTCCCCTCGACCTTATATCTCGAGTCCCTCTCAGTGGTTTTAAGGGGCATTTGTCCCTCTGCAGCAATTTACGAAGCTCTGTCGAAATTGAATGACTTAAAAATATAAGGATGATAATAATTACCTGGGTATCAGCCAAGCGTCTCCTAATGAGTGCCACAGTTCAGTTTCTTTGCTTGTCACGCAATTCGCCAGAAGGTTCAAGGCCTCCCTCGTGAGGAGAGGTTGCACAACCCTAGCTGGAAGACGGCCGTCGGCGACGTCCTGTGCTGCGTCCACAATAAGCGCCAGCGGCGTGAACAAGAAATGAACCTAAATACAAAGAGTCATGATTTAATTTATTATTTCCGGTGATATTTTGAAGTGCACACACACTACAGTACACTACAAGTATTATGTTTATGTTTATGTAATTATGTAATTCTTCTATTTACCATATCCCACTAATGAGATGTTGACTGCTGTACAAATCAATTATCATGTTGTAATTTGATCGGATATACAATTTTACTATAGGCAATGCAACTGTCAATCTTGTTCGGAAATACTGGGTGATTGGACAGAAAAATGGCAACAGGAATGAATAGGAGTTGTGAGTGAGAAAATAACTGAACTGAAAGAAAATAATGATAAACTCATACGGATGTTAAATGAGTTGAAAAGTTTAAACTATAGTATCAAAGTAAAAAGTAGTAGTAAAGTGTAAAATTATTTTACTCACCAACTCCGGAGCGTTGGGGTCATGGATATGAGCTCTCAAACGTGCCAACAGATTGAAGGACAGCTTAAATTTCTGCAGGACATCGACAAAATCGCGCTCCGGCGGAGGACGGGTTCTCATTGCGAGCATTCCTTCACCAGCCGCCGCTCGCTTGCCTCCTCGGGATCTTCTCCTCCTCTCCAACTCCCTTGAAGCTGCAGCCGCATGCTGTAATCTTGCTATGAACTTCTCTATGTCGTCGAAGCAACGGTTCAATATGGCGATGTCTTGTTCGTATAGACGCTCGGAGCCTGTGGAAGACGCGTCGTCTCTTTCGCCCCCGGAGCCGCTACGGTCTCTGTCTCTATCCCTTTCTCTTTCTCTGTCGCGGCCCAATTGCGCGGACATTTGCTGTTCACAAAAAAATAATGCTGTATAGGTTTTTTGGTTCTCGGACCATCGTTGATTCTGTTGTTTAAGTTTCGTGATGGACGTGAAAATATAATGAAACTTAAACTAAAAACATTTGTTTATTAGTGTATCCAAATATTTTTTTGTATATCGCCAAAGTAATTAGAGAAATCAATCGCGTTCAACCAAGATGCGCTTCCAGAGATCATATTTACCTGTCGTTAGCGTACGGTAGGGTAGTCATCGAATTCCAGAAAAAGGAAAGATAAATAATAATCCGCTCTTAACAATCAGAAACCGAAAACCGAAGGAAATGGAAGCTGATGATACAAAGAGCCACGAAGGGCTTTCAGGGACACGACCTTCAGCAATGAAGTATGCGACTAAGGAGAGAAGAAGAATAATTAGCTCGCAGTCTTTGCAACGACGTCGAAATATTAGGAACTGTTAAACAAAACAAAATCGTGGTCTCTGTGTATTAACAAAACTGCCGAAGCAATTATTGGGATCGGGTATTGGATACTGGAAAGTAGAAGTATTATCTAAACACACCGTGGTTAGAAAAAAACGAACTACATTAAAATTAACCCTTTTTTATTGCTTAGATGGGTGGACGAGCTCACAACTCACCTGGTGTTAAGTGGTTACTGGAGCCCATAAACATCTACAACGTAAATGGGCCACCCACTTTGAGATATAAGTTCTAAGGTCTCAGTAGTTACAGCGGCTGTTCCAACCTTCAAAACGCATTACTGCTTCACGGCAGAAATAGGCGGGGTGGTGGTACCTACCCGTGCGGACTCACAAGAAGTCATACCACCAGTTAGATGTTTCAAATATGTTAAGATTGATTGCGTACAGTGGTCTTAAGCTTAAAGGCCGAATAAGGTGCGATATTTCGCGAATACACCGTAATCATCTTTGGATTCTGTCTTTGATATGTTTGAATTTATAACAAAAAGGTTAAAGTGTCAATCGAATTGTTACCGTTATTATCCCACTTCTTAGACTGAATACGTAATAACACAGTAAGCAATAAAACAAAAAAATCTTAATACAAACTTAATACAAAAACAATGGAGGTTTAGATTTCACGTCTTTTATTTGTGGATGAACTAAAAGAGGATAATTCACATCATATTATTATTATCTGAAGGTGGGTAATTGTGCTCACCACGTGACGTCGATGGGCTTCGGTAATCACTCAACTATTTTTTTCCTACCAATGCTGATATCCTTGAGAGGCTATTTCAGCTTCGCCCTAACGCGTAGGTGAGCTCACGGGGCTCAAACCGAAGTGTTGCTAACACTGGCAAGAGCAGTGCTTCGCAGAATCTACCACCGGATCGGAAACGCGACCCACTGAGAAGATCCAGCGAGAAACTCAGTGGGCACACTCAAGACCTAGCGATTTGTGAACTAGCTTTCTCGTGCATACGACAAAATAAAAAATTAAAACGTACACAAATATTAATTTTTGTTTCAAATAATTCTTAGTGAATCTATCGTTTAAAAATAATATATAGAGAAAAAAAATTATATAACACAATCTCACACTTGGAATAGAGTAGATATAAACCACAATAAACTAAGCCAATCACAATTCACACAAATTTCTTACTAGAGCATTTTTGTTTGTACACTCACAATCATAACAGCTTCCCATTGCTGACGTGTATACGTGTGGTAGGTTCGCGTCATGACACCGCGAATTCAGCGCAACGAGTGAATTTTTATCGAACGTTATATGATTAAAATCGGTGAATACATAATCTTCTCGGGTAATCCGGTAATTAGATTCATAAATACGGAATTTAGGTTTTTTTTTTGGGGATTTCGTTTGCTATATATACGCCCCCACCTGGATCGCGTGTGATTCCCCACTTCGATAAAGCGGCACGACACGAGAACCCTCTCATCGTGGCCGCCGGTAACTACATTCCCGATCCTGCGGACAGAATGGCAGTCGACGTCGCCCTAAGTACATCATTACGGATCCTTCCGATCCTTTAACGGTGCTTTTAGGTACCTCAAGCACCGGTCACCGTCATCGCCGAACCTGTCGCTTCCGACAAAGGGCTCGACGAGTAAATTAACCCTCAGACACAGCCCACTGAGTTTCTCGCCGGATCTTCTCAGTGGGTCGCGTTCCGATCCGGTGGTAGATTCTGCGAAGCACTGCTCTTGCTAGGGCCAGTGTTAGCAACACTCCTGGTTTGAGCCCCGTGAGCTCACCTACACGTTAAGGAGAAGCTGAAATAGCCTCTTAAGGCTATCAGTATAGGTAGGAAAAATAATAATAAACTGTTTGTCGAACGGCTTGTAGGGTGGGACAGTCTTGACTAATCTGGGCTGCCCCACATTCTTTTAACTACACAATCGTACCACTTGATACGTATAGCTCTCGTAATCCGCATTAATTCTTTTTTTACTGGTAGTATGTCAATAGATTTTTTATTGTATTTAGTACATCGAATGTCTTGCCAATCAGACCACGAATGCCATTTGTGTTATAAATCGAAACAACAGTGAACAGCCGGTATTAATTGAATCGTTTTGTTACATCATATTATTATGTAGGCACATACTGCGTCTTTGTATTGTAGTGACTAATATTGAACGCCAAGAAAGTAGTCACGTTCGGTGAAGCTAGCAAAATTGTCCTCAGGTTAGAGCCCCGTGAGCTCAGGTAGTTAGGTTAGGTTTATTACTGGTGGTAGGATCTCTTGTGAGTCCGCACGGGTAGGTACCACCACCCTGCCTATTTCTGCCGTGAAGCAGTAATGCGTTTCGGTTTGAAGGGTGGGGCAGCTGTTGTAACTATACTGAGGCCTTAGAACTTANTCACGTTCGGTGAAGCTAGCAAAATTGTCCTCAGGTTAGAGCCCCGTGAGCTCAGGTAGTTAGGTTAGGTTTATTACTGGTGGTAGGATCTCTTGTGAGTCCGCACGGGTAGGTACCACCACCCTGCCTATTTCTGCCGTGAAGCAGTAATGCGTTTCGGTTTGAAGGGTGGGGCAGCTGTTGTAACTATACTGAGGCCTTAGAACTTATATCACAAGGTGGATGGCGCATTTATGTTATAGATCTCTGTCTTGACGTTAAGGCATGAATTTTAATTTAAAGTTATTAATAATTATTTGATTGTGAGGTCACTAAAGAGATCAGCACATGGTTGCCGCTCGTAAAACCCGAAGGCGCATTGAATTAAGGGCAGAGAAAAGGCAAGGCGATTGTACGGAACCATTTGGACTAATTCATTTCTAATATTTATACGAATGGGAATTATTTACTGATATCATGTATAAATAGAAGTTAGATTAAATTAGATTAAATCGAGTACGTTCTGTTTTTGTGATAAGAATCGAATGTTAATTTTAGTAGCCTCAAACTTATCAATGGTTCTTCAATCTGCAAGACTAATTTCATAATTCGTCGTTAATTATAAAATGATATTGTTTTTGTTTTTTGTTTTTGTGTTTTTTCATTACTATAAATAAGTCTTAACTTAGATTGAGGTCCAAATTAAATACTTCATTCATCTCAAAGTTTCATGGCATCAGAAGGAAATATGAATATCGTCTATTGAAGTTGTCGTGGCCTAAAGGATCAGACGTCCAGGGCATTCGTATTGAGCGATGCACGGGTATTCGGACCCCAAGGGGGTACCAATTTTTCTAATGAAATACGCACTTAACAAAATGTTCACGATTGATTTTCACGGTGAAGGAATAACATCGTGTAATAAAAATCAAACCCGCAAAATTATAATTAGCGTAATTACTGATGGTAGGACCTCTTGTGAGTCCGCGCGGGTAGGTACCACCACCTTGCCTGTTTCTGCCGTGAGAAAGTAATGCGTTTCGGTTTGTAAGGTAGGGCAGCCGGTGTAACTATACCGGAGACCTTGGAACTCATATCTCAAGGTAGGTGGCAGTATTTACGTTGTAGATGTCTGTGCTCTGGTTACCACTTAGCACCAGGTGGGCTGTGAGCTAGTCCACCTATCAATGAAATAAAAAAATAAAATAAACATATCGCTTTCTTGTATGTTTAATATTGTTTTTGCGATTGCATTGAACGATATCAAAGCCCAAAGTGGGTTTGAGTAATTGCCAGAGGCCATCACAACTTCATTGCCGGTCCATCTTGAAACATGAGTTCAAAGTCTATGGTTATCCCTTCCCGTTAAATCACAACACACGACTGTTTCGCTCTAGGAATAAGAATCCGCGTGCGGGCTTTAGTACTTGCCTCGGTAAAAAATATAATTATTACTACCTATCTCTTCCCAAAAAAATCATGTGAACTTGTCGAGCAAGAAGATAATTTTAAGTACACCGCGGTTTATTTATTTCCTGAAGGGATTCTTGTTCACGTGATGGTTGTCTGAAAANGTTAAATCACAACACACGACTGTTTCGCTCTAGGAATAAGAATCCGCGTGCGGGCTTTAGTACTTGCCTCGGTAAAAAATATAATTATTACTACCTATCTCTTCCCAAAAAAATCATGTGAACTTGTCGAGCAAGAAGATAATTTTAAGTACACCGCGGTTTATTTATTTCCTGAAGGGATTCTTGTTCACGTGATGGTTGTCTGAAAAAGATTGCTCTTAGCGATTAAACCACCCATTTGTACATTTTGTATTTAATGTTTCGCATTTTTGTTTATTACGATGTACAATAAAGCATACTCTCTCTATCTCTCTCTCTCTCTCCCTCTCTCTGTGTATGTCTCTTTTTAAGCTGTACGTTAAAATTTCACAAATCGAACTATGGTTGCTTAGTTTTTATATAGCTATCCGTATGTATGTTGTTATTTAAGCTTTGAATCACGTTCCGACTACCTGAATTGGAATGTACATATACAAATTAAATCACTAACATGAATCTAAATGATCTAACTATATTATATATCAAATGAAATATTGCTTATCAAAGCGATACACATCGATGTTTATCTAACGATAGAGTTTGATAGCGATCGGACAATATTCGATAATATCGATACGGCTTCTAGAACTTGGTGTCGAATTTTTATGAATATTAATTTCGTTATCTTTTCAATTAATGAAACGAAATGCGTTTATTTCAGGCACTATTATGATTGTATTTTATACTTCTACAATCACAAATTTCGCCAAGGCTACACTATAAAAAATATGAATACAGACAAACAATATTTAATCTATTCTCAATTTGAGCACAGACGTCAAGAACAAAAGTTTGACAATAAATAGTATGCATGCGTGTGTGCATCAAATACATGGTATGTAGTGTGTGTAATGTTTTCTTTATTGATTTAATGTATCCTTTATGCATTATTTTTAAAAAATATTAGCATTGTGCACTCCTTCTCTATATGCTCTATAAGTGTGGAAAATTTCATACTCCTCCGTCCGCGCAATTTTCGTAAAAAGGGATACAAAGTTTTTGCTTCACGTATTAATATATAGATTAAAATTGTCAACTACTAATATACAATTAAAATTAATAAAGTACATCTACGTACTTTTGTCTGCTGGCAAAAAACAGTATTCAAATGATGTCAGTTAGATAATCACTTTTTTAAAATATTGATATGTTATTTTTCACTATCTTTCCAAAACGTATTATGGCTTACGTATTTTGTAACGGTGGCAAAAAAATTAAATAATAAAAATTAGGATCTCATTTTTTTTAAAAGATTAATAGATTGTGGACATTGTTTTATAATTGCTACTTGAATCACAAATAATATTCAGTTTCGTCTTTTTTTTCCTTACCTAATCGTTGGTAGTCTAATGGGCTATCAAATTACGCGCAGTTTTGTAGGTGAGCTCATGGGGTTCAATCTGGGATATCTTGCGAACACTAGCCCAAGCAAGAGCAGTGGCAAGAATGGCTTAACTATATCTATATGTTTGTTGACTAAGGCTTTATGGAAGATCGGGACCATAGAGATGTTGGTACAGGCATCAAGCTAAGACTATTCAGTCTTAACAAGGCCTTTAGCGTGGGACATGAAAAAAGTTCTTTACAATATATTATATATACCTAAAACTTTATTTTCTGGCGGTTTAAAACGCTTTGTGTAGCTTGATTTGTATGTATGTTTGTTTGTATGTAATGCAATCTTTGAACGTTATTTTGATCGACTTTAAAATCGCACACGCATCCAGAAGCTATGACTATACAAGAATTTTATGACTTCACTCTAATATCCTGATGAGTATCAGTACGATAACAAAAAATATAGAATTAATATCTGCCTCGGGGTTGCTGTTTTTTTTAAATCTAATATATTATTAGTAGATAACATTTCACTTTTATTTAAATATAGGCTGAGTAGATGTTCTGACAAGCTTTGTTTACCTGTCATTAATACGATAATTCTATTTCTGTGAAATCTGTTCTTTATGTATAAAAGAATGTTGATAATATATTTATTGTACTTACGTGAAGATGACGTCATAATGCTTTTTACTTGGGCCATTTTTTTCAGTTATCAGATAAAATTTATTTTTTGTTTATTATACAACGAACAAACGCTAAATTGTGGTAATGTCTTTTTTTATTCAGTAAGGAATTGTTTGGATTTGTTTGTCGCTAATAATTTAAAATATCAGGCACAATGTTTTACACATCCTGTCGAGGCTATTAGCTTAGGTAGGATAAAAATGAACATGTACCTCTAGAGTTCTTCACGATTTTTAATCGGCTACAATCATGAGAAATTATCATAGGTCCATAGATGTGAGATCTGGGTCGCGGTCTAACCGACGACGATTTATCATCTCCATGGTGGTCACTAATGCCGGGGTCTAAGCCGTGTCACAATTCACTCATGGAGTATAGTAGTGGACGGAAGAGAGACGTTTTATAATGCCTTAGGGCCATTGAAATAGAGAGCACATTCAGCAGGTTTTAGCTTCATACGAAACGACATTTGGAAACGCACTGAACACGAGTTAAGAGGTTCATGGTGAGATGATGAAAATTATTGGAATGTCGGGCGGTAGAGCTTAGACAATAGAAGCTAATCAGAAATCGAAATGGGAACGATTTAAAAAATTTAAAATATATTTTTTATAGCCTTTGTAGGCAGACGAGAATACGTGATCGTGAATGGTTACCGTCGCCCATGGTCGTCAGCAATGCCAGGGGCAGAGCCAAGCCAGTGCCTACCGTTAAGTACTCTCCATAAGGCTCGTTTACAGAAGGACTTTTACTGGTGGTAGGACCTCTTGTGAGTCCGCGCGGGTAGGTACCACCACCCTGCTTATTTCTACCGTGAAGCAGTAATGCGTTTCGGTTTGAAGAGTGGGGCAGCCGTTGTAACTATACCTGAGATCTTAGAACTTATGTCTCAAGGTGGATGGCGCATTTACGTTGTAGATGTCTATGGGCTCCAATAACCAGTTAACACCAGGTGGGCTGTGAGCTCGTCCACCCATCTAATCGAGAAACATCGTAAAGGGGAGCTTATTCTAAAACCAGATAGTACGTGGCAAAAAGGATCTCTGGAAACGCTCTGTGGATGATGTGAATGTGATAAATGATTTGCATAGTTACTTGTCTCTGAGGTCTGTCGCTTTCTGTTTCTCGCTCGCGCTCCCGCTCCCGCTCGATAATGAAGTCGCGGCCTCCGTCAGCGGAACCGTCTCGACCGACACCCCTGTACAAAAAAAAAAGAATTATATTCTAAGAGCTGTTAATGCACACGAATAGAACATACTTAATTTTCCATAAAATTTGTAGTTTTAGAATAATGATATTATAAAAGTATGTACTTTAGAATCACATTTTTGAGTGGCTATAAAAATGAAAATTTTATTATTTCATTTTATCTATAGAGTTTTTTGGAACGAAGTTCCTTATGGGACGATGCGGAGGGGTACCGTAATCGGGAAAAAACGTCCGTAACGTAAGATTTTTATTATTTATGTATAGTCTTAGTATGATGGCTATACAGTGTCTAATGTATAGTCTACGTGATGACGGTTATTATTATTATTCATATAAATAACTGTTTCNCTATTTTTTTTTTTTTTTTTTATGTTAATGCACTGTCGATTGCACATAATTGAGGTGATATCTGCCATGAACTTTTGTCAATTTGTCAATGTTTTGTATTGATGATCACTTTGTTGGTGCAACTTAATAAATAAATAAATATATATTTTTTAAATAATTTTGAATAAAATAAAGTTGATAGCTTTGTATAGTTTTTTTTTGTTATCAATAAAAAAATATAATAAAAATGTATACCCGAATAATTATTTTCTTTATACCACGAATAAAACTTAAAATTAATATTTTTATATATAATAAGGGACTTCGTTCCTATCCGGTTTCCTACGACACCAGACATCTTTTTTTTTATTTGATATATTTTTTACTCAGACAACACCGAAGTAATGTAACAAAACGTTATGTTTAACTTAAGTATTGTGTGCTTAATGTGAGTTTTTTAACGTTTTCGATAGCGTAAAAGTAACTCAAATTGGTATGCAGATCGAACAGCGCCCCTAGCGGCAAACGTAGGCAAACGATCAAAATCCATACAAATTTGATTTTACTTTTACGTTATCGAGAACGTTAAAAAACTCGCACTAAGCACACTTGTGGTAGGACGTATTGTATGTTCGCTCGGTCAGGTACAATCATCATGCCTATTTCTGTCGCGAAGCTGTCGTGCATTCCGAATCGAACCATAGAACTGTCATTATTCAATGAAGAAAGAGAACGACTTTATATCTCACTAGCGACCCGCCCTCGCTTCGCTTCGGAAACATTAAAACACACATGAAACCAAAAAAAAAAATAAAAAAAAGTAGCCTATGTTCATCAGGGACAATGTCGGCTTCTAATGGAAAAAGAATTTTTCAAATCGGTCCAGTAGTTTCGGAGCCTATTCGAAACAAACAAACAAACAAATCTTTCCTCTTTATATTATTATTATTATTATTATTATAGTATAGAAGATCACGGGTGGAGTTCAAGTTACCATATGAGCTACCCACTTAACATCAGGTGGGCTGTTAGATCGATTTATTTTTTAAAACAACAAACTCTATACTCCTATATCCGTTACCTAAATAAATTATTTAAACAATTAACGAGTAGAAAATTTTCAAATAAACACATTACATTGTTCTTATCGCAAACACTCATGCTATTGCTCATACATTTTTTTAGATTGTCACCCGATTTCTATCTGTGACAAATGTCTTTCGTAATTCTAAAGTTATTTTATGTCGATTTATGAAATACGCGACTTTTTAGTTGTGTAATAGGAAGATAGGGATTTGCTACACTCTCACGGTGTGTCTCCCGAGACGAGGTTCTTAGGGTTTTTCCCGGGGATGAGATCCCGTATTAACATTAGTACGGGTACCGGCTAAGGCGAGACTTTCGGCGCGCACCACGGTACCGTAAGTTTCGTGTAGTCAGTGTGGTGGAGCTCGATGGGGTTTAGTCGGTAGTAACTCCCCTTCTTCCTCTCAGGAGGCGCCGGAGTCCGACATAACGTATCCGTAAATGGATTCCCCAGCGTTAAAAAAAAGGACTTTGCTACACTAATAGGCAAATTTGTAGACTCCGACCTTACTAACGTTACACACCAGTTATAGCTGGAAAGGCCTGATGGGTTACCAGTGAATAGGTACGGATAAAAGTACGTATTAAACAACAGTTCTAAATGTCATGTGTAGAATATCACAGAATAAGGTAGATCGTTCACAAACACGGGTCTGTGCAGATAGATTTTCACTTCACACCACTCACAGTTACATTTCTCAGGTCAAGAGATATGTATATACTTCAATTTTTTTATCGTAAAATGGCATAAAACACACACCACGTGTAGCTAGCAACGGGAGGCGGGAACAGACTTTTTATATACATCATGTTTCATTATCACTACTGCGCTCTACCGAGTTTCAGAATAAACTGGGATGCTGAGCATGTATTAAGATTGATAAGATAAAAAACTTCAGCTTAAGTTAAGATATGTAATACTTTAAATGCATATACCTATTCTATTGATGCCGCTCTTTGTCACATAGTGATATTTACGGACTTCGAATACGGCTTTCTGTCTTTTCTTATTTATTGCATAGATGTGTAGACGAGCTCACAGCACACCTGATTTTAAGTGGTTACCGGAACCCATAGACAACTACGACGTAAATGCCGCCACCTTGAGATATGTGTGCTAAGGTCTCAGTATAGTTATTATGTCCGCAGTTATGCCCGTATAGATTGTACTTTAAATGACTTGGTGGATAACGCTACTCAGCCAGGGGAAACCAAGGTGACCTACATTCCTTTCCAGGACTCAAATTCTCTCCATAGCGAATTTTGACCAAATTAGTTCAGTTGTTTGGACGTGTGACACCCAGACAGACTTAATTTCGCACTTATATATTAGGGAAAGGGCATTTACGTATTTAGATTAATAACGAATGGATTTAATTAAAAGAAATCCAAGAGCTTCAGTGGCCATTTTGGAGAATTTACTGCTGGTAGTACGTATTGTAAGCCTGCATGGGTATGTACATTTCTACCAGAAACCAGTCACACGCTGCGGCTTAAAATAACTATTAATACAGTACGACTTATACTTCGACCTCATGTCTCAAAGGGAGTGGTAGCGTTCGCGCAGTGATGTCAATGGTCTCCAATAAAACTGATTAACCAGTACGACTTTGTGAATGTTCTAAAATCGATAGGTAGGTACTATTAAACGTAAAATAGTGATAAGATTAGCGCGATAATGATATGAAAAGGATTTAATATCTCTCGGTACATTCATGAACGATTTATCATCAGCCTGTGATGTCATATCGGGAATTCAATGTCGGATAGTTTTTTAGGATTCCGTCAGACCGGATCCGTGGACTATGGTTTGAAATACATCTTCATCCTTTTATTAGCGTTTTCCCGGTCTAGTACTACGGTCTGCATTTCTACTTAAATTTGTCCGTTTTTCGATATCCTTCTGAGTGGGATTATCTTCTCCTCTCCTGCATATCCGCCTTTACAACAACTAACCAGCTTTTCATGAGCCTACCGCGGGATCTTGGTTTGAAATACTATGTTAGATTATTTGATTAAGTCTGATTCCGTTGATAGTATATTCTGTCTGCAGCTTTCATTAGATGAGACCAGTACTTATTCATCTATACCACGAATAGTAAGTAAATAGATTCAACCGGCAATCCACATCGAATGGCGTATAAGACGTTTTCAAAGTTAATGTAAAAATTGACAGTTCGCGATTTAGATTCAACTGTCTATTACTATTTATTACTAGCCGAACTATTACTAGCCGAATGAAAAATTCAAGTTACGGGGAAAGGTATTGTCTTAATTCTTGGGATTAAAGTAAGTAAAAAGCTGGCATGGTTATTCCCCCCTTTAGACAGGTACGAAATTGCGGTAAAATTAGGCAGGACACTAAACGCCCTAACACCAGTAGTCTGTAGATGTCAGGCTTTTTATAGAAGAACTGGTACATGACGACGGCCTCTTGAAAATACTTCCATTATCATTATGTTAAGTCAAATCGAGTTCCATTTTACTTTGGTTCGTTATTTCGGTGTTACCAGTGGCACTCGATGAGCCGATACCGAATTGGTCAGGGCTAAATATCAGGAACTCATTAAACGTGAAAATCGTTGTTAAGACCCGGTTAATAATAATGTGTAGTGTAAATAGTCCAGACAGCTTAAAACAATACTTGACTTGTACCTGACTGAGATAAAATAGTACCTCAAAATTGAAGCTCTTAACGTAATGATGATGGGAGTGTCTTCAAGAGACCGTGGTTTTTTTATTGCTTAGGTGGGTGGACGAGCTCACAGCCCACCTAGTGTTAAGTGGTTACTGGAGCCCATAGACATCTACAACGTAAATGCGCCAGCCACTTTGAGATATAAGTTCTAAGGTCTCTATTATAGTTATTATATATTATAGTTATTATAGTCGTATACCAGTTCTTCCATAAAAAGCCTGACATTGATCAATTACTGGTGGTAAGGCGTTTCGTATTCTTTTGAATTCTGCCGCGTTAGTGTAGCAAAGCAGTTAAGCGTTTTATTAAGAAGGTTTTGACACCAGTGGAAGCAGTTCTTTTATTTTTATTGTTTAAATGGGTGGACGAGCGAAGCAGTTTTTTTTAATTGCTTAAATGGGCGGACGAGCTCACAGCCCACCTGGTGTTAAGTGGTTACTGGAGCCCATAGACATCTACAACGTAAATGCGTCACCAACCTTGAGATATGAGTTCTAAGATCTCAGTATAGTTACAACGGCTGCCCCACCCTTCAAAACGAAACGCATTACTGTTTTACGGCAGATATAGGCGGGGTGGTGGTACCTACCCGTGCGGACCCACAAGAGGTCCTACCACCAGTAAAAAGATTTCGTTCGTGTTCAGTGTACTTCAGATTTCATTAATGGAGTAGACGGATTCAGGTTGTGGTTTATATGAGCTCTCCTTTCCACTAAAAACTAGATGGACTATACTCAGATAAACTATCCTCAAATATTGCTTAGGTCTATTTCAAATATGTTTATCTAATTTCGAATAATTTTAACTGCACTAGCCAATGCTTTCGGCTAACACAAAACAAACAGAGCAATGAACAGAGAAAGTATTAAATAGCTTAGTCAGAGGGCAGTTGTAAGTGATTCTCAGCGGTGAGTTTATTCACTAAGTCTTTCGATTACTATGAATCGTAAAATGAATCCTTCAATTATACTAGCAGTAAAGTTGTTACACTAAAACTCTTTTAAACAATCTTGATTATGATATCTGTGATTAGGAATAATTTGTTTTTATTTAGTAATCTGTGACGTTAGTAGTGTGTGTAGTTAGCTCTTGTTTTCATGTTGTTTTCAAATATACTTTTTTGTCGTACTGTTAACATTTAAATGTAGCCTATTTTTCCGCTGTTTGTAAAATTGCTGTAACATGTCATAGTGTGTTATAAGAGATTGCTGTACATGCCTGTAACTGGCTTACATACCAGTGCTTAATTTTATACATGTTAATTTTAAGCTTGAATGTTTTGTGTGTATTGCTGTTGGTGTGTCTAAATAAATAAATAAACATTTACGAAGAATTTCTTATGAATTTGTACTAAATGGCAGCTTGGAAACTTGATCCTGCTACTATTGATATTCATTTGTGACAATGACCACTCACAATCAAAGGGGCCGCAAGCTCGCCTGCCTTCAAATGCCAAAAAAAACCACAAGATCAAATAGTAAAACTGTCTTTTAATAATCGTTTCGGGAAAACAAACAAATTCAATTATGACTTAATCAGATGATCTCGGACTCACTTTAGAGCGTTAAGCTCTTCCACGAGTGTCTGCGCGCTGACGTCATGGCACTGGAATATATGTAGCTCTCTCCTCCCCTCCTGGTGGGAGCCGGCTGCCGGTGACGCAGGAGCTCCCACTACGAAGGCGAGCACGTTGTTGTAGAGCTCAGCTGGTTCTGGAGACGTGAATGCGGTGGGTGAATGAACCCACGAAGCCGGAAACCGCTCCATCACTGACTGTAAAAAAAAACGGAATTTTCAGTTATACCTATTATAAGTCACCTGTACCTAATTTCTCATTTCCGAGGTTTCGAACGCTGTACGGTTTTCATGATTAAGCTTGATGGTTTTTCCATGCCGGACGCCCAGGGAGTCTTATACGAGACGTGAGACTTGACGGTTTAGAGACTTTGGAAGCAGACCTCTGATCCAAACAGTCACGGGTATTTACAACCATGCTATCATTCCAGTTTGAAGGTTGAATTAGCTATAAAGAAATTGGAACTACAATCTTGTGTGCCTGAAGGTATGTTATACAGGCATTCGGCAACCGCTTTCCATATTATCAGACAAAATACAGGCTCCTCAGATCTTAAGCTTTACAACTGTTATACGGTGATGTCGTCATGGCCTAAGGGATAAGACGTCCGGTGCATTCGTGTTGTGCGACGCAACGGTGTTCGAATCCCGCGGGCAGGTACCAATTTTTCGAATGAAATACGTACTCAACAAATCTTCACGATTGACTTCCACGGTGAAGGAATAACATCGTGTAGTAAAAATCAAACCCGCAAAATTGTAATTTGCGTAATTACTGGTGGTAGGAACTCTTGTGAGTCCGCGCGGGTAGGTACCACCGCCCTGTCTATTTCATGAAGCAGTAATGCGTTTCGGTTCTGAAGGGTGGGGTAGCCGTTGTAACTATATTGAGACCTTAGAACTTATATATCAAAGTGGGTGGCGCTTTCACGCTGTAGATGTCTATGGGCTCCAGTAACCACTTAACACCAGCAGGGCTGTGAGCTCGTCCACCGATCTAAGCCATAAATAAATAAAAAATAGTTTATACTCACAGCAGTTTCGTAATCCATAACCAGAACCCACTGTCCTTCCAAAGACAATTGCATCTTTTGGCTCCAAATTCCTGAAAAGAAAAATAACATTCAAATCAAATCGAATCAAATAAAAAAAAAATTATTCAACACTAGCGACCCGCCCTCGCTTCGCTTCGGATACATTAAAACACACATGAAACCAAAAAAATAAAAATAAAAAGAAATAAAAAAAGTAGCCTATGTTCATCAGGGACAATGTCGGCTTCTAATGGAAAAAGAATTTTTCAAATCGGTCCAGTAGTTTCGGAGCCTATTCGAAACAAACAAACAAACAAATCTTTCCTCTTTATAATATTAGTATAGATATAGATATAGATAAATGAAAGTACATACTTGTTGAACGTCAAAAGAACTACCGCCAATTCACAAGAACTAGCCTCCGTTCTGAGAAGAATTGGCAAGAAACTCAGCGGGCATGTCTTTTTTTTTAATATAGGTATTAGATTTTATTTTAAATATTCATTTTTACAATGAGTATTATAACGTAACAATTATTATAATATTGAAATGCCCGGAGCGAGCAACTCATTCCCACTTTGTGCAATCTTCTAGATTTATTGGAATTTCATTTATTGGAATACCCAAAAAAAATTATGAACATATTTATTGAACACATCCAACGACTCCGTGCTCGGATATTTTCTACTTCACGAATATCGGAAACGTTGGACATCGAACACCAAAATGCGTTTCACAAAAATAATGACAATGATTTGATTTCGAATCCAGAACCTAACTGGTGCATTATAAAATATCGCAACTCACCAGACCTAAGTCGATTTGGTATTCAACCTTTACAAGTGGGTTTTCTAATCGTCATGATTTCATAGCAGATTTACAATGCCGTTGAGAAGAATCGGAAACACAATAAGACCTGGCTAGCTCTTCTTCAATTACTATGTATAATTAAATCAGTATAAATACTTCTACGAATTATTTCAGGATTTTACGGCTCAGAAAGAGCTATTTTCCTTGGTTAGACGAGTGAACAAGCTCCCGGCCCAATTGGTATTGATCACTCAACATGAAAAGACACGTCTGTCGGTTCGTCCAGAAATCGAACGATCGACTGAAATGCCGTCACCCTTGACACATGAGTTCAAAGTCTAATTTATTTTGTACCAAAAGCACGGGTTGTTATATATCCGTGCTGGGTCACAAGACGCCTTACCAGTAAAACCAATCAACGTCCAATTTGGGATACTTTAAATTCTTAAATGTATTGTTCAGCTTAAAAATCGGAACAAATAAGAAGAAGAAAACGGACGAGGCTCATAATCAACCACCAGTTATTACGGAAATTTTATATCATACATAGGCCATTATATAAAGTCTGTACCATTGGTTTTCTCCAGCTGCAGCAGCCTCCTCATGCCGTCCGCGGGGTAGACAATCCCCGTCTCTCTAGTCACTGTGAAGGTGGCCAGGTGTTCCAGCACGTAGACTGACCGCTCTCCTCCCTCACCCCCTCGTATGCCTGCTAGCTCATCAAACTCGTCCAGGGTTCGCTGAGCTTCCCCCCGGGACCGAGAGGTACCGCTCCCAGCCACCCCAGCTCCACGCATCGCCATTTCTTGTTGAATACTTCGGTTAGATGCTCATCTCGCTCGTGCTACTGTTTGGCTGGAATTCGAAAAAGTTTCGGGTTAATTTTGATGACAGAGGGTCAGTCTGACAGAAATTTTATGGGTTACCACACTTTGACATTTAGGAAGATTTAAAACCAATAATCATAGCTCGCTTAATTAGCTTCAACAATGCGGTGTATAAACTTAGCTACGGCTAAGTTTACTACGGTACTCTTTTTTTTTATTGCTTAGATGGGTGCACGAGCTCACAGCCCACCTGGTGTTAAGTGGTTACTGGAGTCCATAGATATCTACAACGTAATTGCGCCACCCACCTTGAATTATAAGTTCTAAGGTCTCTATGCACTCGTATTTTGAAAATTGACTATAGACTATAAAAACACTTGTCATATGGTATGTCTGGCAAAACGCCTAATCTACTACATAACCTAAGGGAACGCTAAAAGCCCAACAACAATCAACACAACAACAAATCAATTTTACTTCCCTTTTTGGACCTTTTCTAACTTCTTTTTGGGATTTGGGAATTATAATTAATAAACTTTAGTTCGTCCTTAGGTCTTTTCTAACCCTTGGTATCGACTATCTTAGCTGAGACTATGTTCAGAGACATCGTTTCCGGATTCCATTCCATTGCCGCCACCACGCATGACGCGATGCCAGAAGTCTCAATTGAATTTACTTTTTGGTCCTAATGTTAAAGGACTTTTTTATAGCTGACCTATTATTCATTAAACCCATAGCTAATAAATACACCTTAGTTATAGGATAAGTAACTCAAGCACTCAAAAAATGTTTACGGGCGTCGGCCACTAGATGGCTTCGCTTTGATTAGTTTCTCATTGCTCTTGTAGATAGCAGTACCATATTACGTACCCTTTATTTTATTTTTAATGAAGGATTTTGTAAATTTTCAGAAACCATAAATTGATAAAATTTAATCAATTTGTCTATAACAAATAAAGACTTGTATGATTATTTTTTTCTGTGTTTAGTTATACAATAATTAAACGCCTTAACTTTAACAACATATACGTTTAGGGGCTTTCGCTACAAGATGTCGCTAGTTTCCATAAAAAAAATATTTGTCTTAAAGTATAGCAGTTTCATGGCCCTGATAAGACCTTCGCATCGCATGCGTGTCGTCTCTTGATTGTAATTTATACGTTTACAATAAAAAAAAAATTATCGCTCAGATGAGGGACGAGCTCAGGGTCCACCTAGACTACTATGTATATTCATTACGTCGTTGTGCTGTATTCGTTAATTTAATATCTTATTAGAAGCGAACTTGCAGATCCATTAGCCTCGTATTGTGTCCAATACTAATGGAAAACTCACAAACCCGAAGTCAATACTTAAATAACAAAACATACACGTCGCTTCCGAGATTCGTTCACGATTTCACCCTAGTGAAACCGAACGACGAGTCGACTCGTCCGGTCAGACGTGCATCCTGAATTTCTAATCGGAAACAAATGTTGGATTTATTGCCCTTTGCACGAACGTAATCACGACTAGGTTTTAAAGTAGCCGCGTTCGTGAAGTTTTGATTTGATATTAATATCATTTAAAGCAATTAGCTCTTAATACATTATAGTCTTAGGGTCATCCATGATATGGCGGTAAACATATTTACTATGGTTATTGTATGCGAATTTCTCGATCATTGATGCACGGATTATTTTGAAGTATGATATCAGACAACGCCAGAAACACAGCGAAGCCTACCGTTGTAGAGAATATTCGAAGATCATAATAAAAAAAACGAAAAAAGGACCCAGGAAACACTATTCAGAGGAGTACATAACTTATTAACATAAATATTATTTTTGAAAGCCTATTTTTAGTGCACTTATTTCAACGTGCTGTGATTTATTTTATAAGAATTTCCGAAAGCTATAACTCAATTTTATTCAAAGCTTATCTCAAGACTTCAGCGACAGAGATCAAGAGATGATTTTGCAGACAAATGCGAACAGTTACTGAGGTCTCGCCCTCCTACACAGATTTAACTGATTATTTTCATTAGTAAACGTTCGTTTACGGTAGATTTATTTATACTTAGATAATCTTTTATATTGTATTAGGTCTCATGAGTTCATTGTTTCGAAGACCGACCAAATAAACTCAAAAGACGGCTACGGCATAACATAAATTCGTCCGGTAACCGTACTCGTCGACCTCGGCCAAGAGTTCGATATACAACCTAACCCGTGTATCACCCGCTGAGTTTCTCGCCGGATCTTCTCAGCGGGTGGCAATTCCGATCCGGTAGTAGATTCATTCGCGAAGTAGCTGCTATTGAGTTGTTAGGTCTCCTTTGGAGGCGCTCGGACAGCTGTTAGCAAATTCCACCCCTCCTGGCTGAGCCTTTACTCACCACCTGTCTTGGTTAACCTGGAAAGGCCTTCGGGCCACCAGTAATCTTTCATTCATAAAGAAAAATAAAACATAAACTCGCAACCACCGAACGTCACAAAAGCTAGTCGCTTAGACAATAATAGTGTGAGGAGAAAAACTAATCTGACTCATCGAAGTGAATCATTCATTGACGGAATGTATTATTTATGATAGTGGTTTTTGTCTTCGAAGGCATGCGACCTTACGATGTCGGTGAGTGCTCACGACCACTGATACTGCGAACAAAATTTTTTTAAGATTATATTGTCTTAATTTTTTGTCAATGGCGTCAATAGAAAATTAGCTTAGTTATCTAACTTTTATAAATATTAGTTAGTTCTATCCGACCACTTTTATTTCCAGAACGAAAAAGCAACAGTTGAAATTAAAAAGCCAATGCGTAAATTAAAAAAAGCCCCAGGGGAATAGTCCATTTTCGCAGTTTTACCAGGTTTATCTTATTACCGACCACATTTGGATTATTGGTAGACTTTTTCCACCCTAATAAATCCGCTCGTGGAATACTTCATTTTATTTATGAAAAAAAAACGAGCAACAATAACCACAGGTATTTAGCTATATATTTACCCTTATGTCTGGTATGTATGCGTTTTTATATTTGTAATTTAATTTATATTTTAATACACCTACCGTTACTCTGTTCTATCTTTGGTGGACTAGTAGAGAACGTCTTAGTTATAAAGTCCGCCAATGTAAATATTACATGATGCGTTGTGAATAAATAAATAAATAAATATGTACAGGTAATTCGTTCCTAATATTATAAATGCGAAAGTGAGTTTGTTTGTTTCGCTTTCACATCTTATCTGTTTGACCAATCATTATGGAATTTTACAGACACATTGTCAGCGGTACAGAAAAAACATAGAGGGTACCTTTCATGCAGAAAAAGCGGTTTTTGGATTGTGGTGAGTTAGACCTTGTCTTCCCACCACCACCAGAACTACAATGCAATGAGAATGGATACTACAATGCAATGACTCTATGAATAATCGATGGAAGAATAGCTCACAATCATCCCACATTGTATCAAGGTTGCATTTAGTTAGTTAATGTGAATTTTAAATATTGGCGTGGGATGACTTGAACCCAGTCACGATGAGCTTACGAGAATAAACTCTTGGTTCTATGCACGCCTTCATAGCATCGAAGGGTAGAGATACGGATATTATGTGAATTTCGAATTATTTTAAAATCGATTTTAAATATGTATTAATAATGTTAAATCGATTATTTTTGTTGGCATTGATTTTATGCTACGCTCAATGCCAATCTCTATGTATAATTACTAGGGTTTGTCACATTATACAAACTCGAACATAATCCTAAAGATTTAGATACATTTTATGTGTTGCATTTCTGATTTTTACACAATGTACCCAAAAAAAAATCGAATGAAATTTGATTTTGGGTTAATTTACCCGCAAGTTAAATTATTATTAGTATTTTTTTAATACCCGTATGCGAAAGTGGCGGAGAGGGAGACTCTTGTTGTCTTTCTCGCACGATCGTCGCCTAATCACAATGATTTAGCTCGTTATTTGTAATAATTTATCAACATGAAGGTTTCTTTGTAACTTACTTATATCGTCGGGCTTAAAAACTTTATACTTTAGAAAATAAAGCTTTTGATTAATAAGTCACTTGATCGAATTAACACTTGTACACTTAAACTTCAGCTGTGACACTAACAAACTAAGCCAGTACAACTTCGTCACTGTTTCCTAAAAATTAAATTTAATAAATATACGAAAAACACAGATAGCCTAATCAATAGATAATATCCAATTATTTTTTGATAAGATTTGTACAATTATTTTCAAAGCAGATTGCCCATTCTGCTATGGGCCGCCGTTGCGCATTTTTTTTTTATTTTTAAAAATTATCCATTTATTTTGAGGGATTTTTTGTTGTTCATAGACTTTTTGTTCAATTTTCAGGTTATTTTTGTAACAAACCCTCTACCAAAAAACAACCAATCCTTACAACGATTTTGATTTGAATTCTCATATGACTTTTTTTTTCCACAGGATTTTGATGACATTGGTATATTAATTTAATTTGGCAATGACGTCACTCTCACTATTTCTCTAGTATCGTACTAAGGCTATACTAGTCAATCGAACCTTGATAACAGAGAACTGTTTAGCTACTCCTATTTAGCATTTGTAAAAATCAGATTAACAGATTTTAACTGAGTAAAGGAAATCAAGGCCGAACGCCTTCCGATCAGGACCTTTTGGTACCTAGAGCCGCTGACTAATAGATTCGTTTGTGAACTCTACGGCCAGGGAGAGCTCTATCCCGGCTTTAGTGTAAGTTGAAAGCTTGCGCTGAACTTGATGCTTGAAGCTTGATCTCATCTCTCCGCTCGGTAAGCTTGATCGCAATTGGGGTGAGAGCGTCTCATCCTGAGGCAACTTCACGGCTCCAACTGTTTTTTATTTTTATTGCTTAGATGTGTGGACGAGCTCACAGTACACTTGGTGTTAAGTGGTTACTGGAGCCCATAGACATCTACAACGTAAATGCGCCACCCACCTTGAGATATAAGTTCTAAGGTCTCAATATAGTTACAGCGGCTGCCCCACCCTTCAAACCGAAACGCAT